TCAATGGGGTCGCCAAAGATCATCAGAAAACATCTATTTCTGGTGGTCGTAGGAACCCCTTTGGCAAAGAAAGCTGAAGATCTCTCTGCCTGTCCTTCTCTTCCTCTTTGGAAACAGATGGCACATCCTCCCATCAAAAGCCCTCCTCTGCTGTGATTGGCAGGCCTCTCAGCCAAGGGGAGGGATGTTTCTGAGACTCCAAGTGGGGAGGGGAGAGCAGGCGTGCTCGGCACATGGCAGCATGGTGCGCATGTGCAGGCGAGGGAGAGCATGCGAGGTTGGACGGAGGCTCACGCCAGACGAGTCCCTTCACGGCAGGGGAGTTTTGTGTGGGAAGTTTGGCCCAATTCTGTCATTGGTGGGGTTCAGAAGGCTCCTTGATTGTAGGTGAACTATAAATCCCAGCAACTACAACTCCCGAGTGTTAAGGTCTATTTCCCCCAAACTCCACCAATGTTCACATTTGGGAATATTGAGTATTCATGCCGCATTTGGTTCAGATCCATCATTGTTCTAGTCCACAGTGCTCTCTGGATGTAGGTGAACTACAACTCCCATACTCAAGGTCAATGTCCATCAAACGCTTCCAGTATTGTGTGTTGTTCATGGGAGCTCTGTGTGCCAAGTTTGGTTCAATTCCGTCATTGCTGGAGTTCAGAATGGTCTTTGATTGTAGGTGAACTATAACTCCCATCAACTACAACTCCCAAGTGTCAAGGTCTATTTTCCCCAAACTTCACCAATGTTCATATTTGGGAATATTGAGTATTCATGCGACATTTGATCCAGATCCATCATTGTTCTAGTCCACAGTGCTCTCTGGATGTAGGTGAACTACAACTCCCATACTCAAGGTCAATGTCCATCAAACCCTGCCAGTATTGGGTGTTGTTCATGGGAGTTCTGTGTGCCAAGTTTGGTTCAATTCCGTCATTGCTGGAATTCAGAATGCTCTTTGATTGTAGGTGAACTATAACTCCCAGCAAGTAGAACTCCCAAGTGTCAAGGTCATTTCCCCCAAACTCCACCAGTGTTCACATCTGGGCAAGGATCAAGTATCAGGTTTTAATTGAATTTAATTAATCTAGAAAAAGAGGCGGACTAGCACTGCGCGACCTATAAAAACATATTCGGACGCCTGCGCACTGACGTGGGTAAAGGAGTGGGCTGCTCTTACCAAAAAGGAAATTCTAAGCTTGGAAGGAGCGGATCTTCGACGAGGCTGGCACGGTTACCTCTGGTACCATCAGGAAAAAGTTGAAAAACAAATCTCAAATCATTTCGTAAGGGAAACTTTATTAAAGGTGTGGGAGAATTACAGAGACAGACTATATACTAAAACAAAATATACAATATATACAATATATACAAAAGAGAGACGCCTTCCAAGAAGTGGCTACATTATAAATTGTTATGAACTGAAAAGAGTAACGATTGGTCATTGAAATCGATAGAATAAATAAGGGCGGAAACAATTTTGTCATGGTTTCAATATTGACACCTTAAGGAAAGCTACAGGGAAGATGTAAAAGATGCAATAAACAATATGGGATTTGGTCATGAAGAGGGAAAATAACAAAAAGGTTATACCAAAAACTTAAAGAATGGAAGACCGAAACAACTGGTGAAAGGAAACATGATCAAATGGGCGGTAGGGGGAATTAAGTCCATTGACATTATGAGACACTAACTTAATTTTCAGAGTCTTTTCCCAGTTTCTCTCTCTGTCTCTGAATTTGCCTTTCCTGAGTCAGAATGATGTTCATTTTTCATTTACATAGATTGCTACTCCTCTTTTTTTTCTCAGCGCTGGAGGAATAGTATAATTTTCCCAAATTTTTTTGTTCTATATGCGTGACATGTTTCTGTGTGATACGTGTCTCCTGCAGATAAATTATATCATACTTTCCTTTTTTTAGACAGGCCAATTTTTTCCCTTTTATTGGCGGAATTAAGTCCATTAACATTATGAGACACTAACTTAATTTTCCGAGTCCTAGGTTTTCCCAGTTTCTCTCTCTGTCTCCGAATTTGCCTTTGCTGAGTCAGAATGGAATGCAAAGTCCTTCGGTGATTTGCTCCTTGGTCTCTTTCTTCTTTTTCTGATACCATCCGTGCCTCTTTGGGTTTCTTCTTCACTTGCTTCATCTTCTATTTTTCCTTTTTGTGGGGTAAATGTTTTAGGGAGGCAACTGTTTCTTCCAGAGTATTTATTTTTCTCTTGAGACCTTCCTGATGGTTTTTAATGATTTTATTTTCTCTTATTAAGTCTTTATTTTCTTGTTTTAGTTTGTCTGTATCTTCTCTTGCTTCTGAAAGTTCTTTCTTGAGGGCTGTCGGCAGCTCTTCTTTTATTTTTCTCTTCATGTCACCCATTTCCTCTTTGATTATAATGTTTTGTTTGTCTTGGTTGTCTTGGATTCTTTGGATTTCTGTTTGTAATTTTAGTATCTCACGCATCACATCTCTGATGCTTAATTCTTCCGGGAGGAAGTCCTTCCTTCCAACCCCCTTCTTTTATCTTTCTTTTTCCTTGTACATCTTATTTTTTTGTGTTGATATCATGTCGTTTATTTTTTGTTTTGCTTTGTTAGTGGTTGTGTTAGTTGTTTTTGGTTGTTTCTTGTTTTCTGATTTATTCTGAGTTTGTTTTGTATAGGGATTTATATAATTCTTCCACTCTATATAAACTTCAGAGTGTTTAACTATTTAAGGTATCTCTTCCCTACACTTCACTCACTTATTATCTTTTCCCTTTCCTTTCCTTTCCTAACTGGGCTGTTACTTCGATGAGGGTATTGTTTGAATTCACTTTCTGTTACAACTCAATTTCTCCCTCCCCCGTTTTCCCGTCTGTCCCATCTATGTGTGTAGTCTGGGCCGGTTTTGTCTCAAGGTGGTTAATTTCTTGTTGTTTACTCACTGTCCCTCTTGCTCTGGTCTCTCTGCTTCTCCTCTCTTTCTTTGGGTCCGTCTTCCCAATTTCGGCTCAGCCGCTGGCTTCCGTCTCTTCTTCTTATTCTTTGGCTCCCTTCTCTTCTCCCGTCTTCACCCTCCCATTTCCTCTCCCCGCCGTTGTGATGCCACTACTTTCGCCTTCTAAACCTCTCCCCTCTTGTTTCTCATCGTCCCGTCCCATCTCTTCTCGTGATATCTGCTTCCTTCTTCCTTCTCCTCGTAGCTGCACCCCACCTTACTCTCTCCTCAACTCCTCAAGTTCTTATTGCCATTCCGGAAGGTAGGTGGGGATGCCGGTGGGAGATACGGGGGTGCAGGGATGTGGGGAGGGTGTGTTTGAGGAAGAGATGATGACAGAGTTGGGAGAGTGTGGGGAGGGAAGGGAGAGTGGTAAAGAAGAAAAAAAGGGAGGGCTCATCGGGTGCCCTTGTCGTGCCTTGCCCTAAAGGACCCGTTAAAGGGAGACCTGTCTGGTCTCTGGCTTGGTCCCTTTGGGTTTGTACCGTTCAGCTTCCATCCGCTGAGCAGGGGAGCCTCGGCTCAACCTAAGGCAGTTTGACCGGGTTAGAAATCTGAGGAGCCTCAGAAATCTTTTTTTTTTTAAATAATCTTTATTGAGATTTCCATATATTAAAAACCACATGAACATTAGAAATACATTCGCTACATATTAACAGTTCATCGCAGGGGGGGGGAAGTATACAGAGGTGAGAAAGGGTGATAGGGTATAGATCAAGAGGGAAATTGGGGTAGAAAATTGAGGGGGGGGGTAGGGGAGAAGAGGGGGTAACATACATAGGAAGAGGGAAGATTGGAGGAAATACAAACTAACCTTACATATCTTTCTAACCTCACATACCCTACGACATGAAGACAAAGACTACATAAAATTAAAAGACTTCCAATTTTGTGACCTATCGGAAATTGTCTTTCGTAGCTTTAGGGGAGACCCCCCTCTGCTCGCTATATGAGGCTGGGGGTCCTCGGTCCCTTTTTCTCTTTATTCACCCTAGTTTTTCAAAAGTTGTTTGTTTTTCTTTGTCCTTATATATCTTGAGTGGTTCCTTCTTTCAAGTACTTTTTTTTCTTTTTCATATTCTTCTACCACTTTCCAGTTTGTATGTTTTATTGGAGCTTCTCTTCAGGTAAAATGTTAATTTGTCCATATTTTTAATATCGCTAAGTTTGTCCAGCCACTGGTCCGCTGTGGGGGTATAATCTTCTTTCCAAACTTTGGCGAGTACGATTCTTGCCGCAGTGGTAATGTATGTGAATATGATATCGTTTTTCCCCAGCTGTAGGTCTTCTTCTATGAGCCCTAGTAGAAAGATTTCTAGTTTCAGAGGTATTTTTTTCTTTAAAATTTTCTGCGATTCTTCTTTTATTGCCTTCCAATATTTGAGAACTATTGGGCAGGACCACCACATGTGGAAGTAACTGCCTGTTTGTTTCTTGCACTTCCAACATGTATCTTTATAGCCTTTGTACATTCGGCTGAGTTTTTGTGGCGTCATGTACCAACGGTGGAAGATCTTGATCCAATTTTCCTTTAGTGAGAATGAGTATGTGTATTTTAGTTTTTTTTTCCAGATGTTCTGCCATTCACGAAGTCTGATTACTCTGCCGATGTTCTTGGCCCATACCACCATACAGTTCTTTATCCCCTCTCTTTCCACCTCCCAATCTAATAGTTGGCTATATATTTTGGTTATAATCTTTTTCTCTATTTTTAGTATTTTGTCCCATACTGTTTCATCAGTCTCGAAGCCCTTCTTTTGGTCTTGTTTGAATGTTTCCCTTATTTGGTAATATTTTAACCATGTTATGTTCCCCAAGCTGTTTGTCAAGTCTTCTTGCGTTTTTAGAGAGTGGATTTTACTATGACTATCATATTCCAGGAGGTCTCTGTAGGTTGGCCATTTTTGCCATCCTAGTAGCCGTCTCTGTTTGGCTTCTACCGACGATATCCAGAGCGGTGTTTTGGTGTAAAACCATCTCTTATATTTATCCCAAACTTTTATTAGGGCCGATCGTATAAAATGGTTGCCGAAGTTCTTTTCTGTGCCTGTTTCCCCATACCACATATAGGTATGCCAACCTACCTTCAGGTTGTATCCTTCCAAACCTAGGGTTTTTTCATTTCTCAATAGTGCCCACTCTTTTAACCATACTAGTGCACAGGCTTCGAAGTAAAGCCTCAGGTTCGGTAACCCCAGTCCCCCTCTTTCTTTTCTGTCTATCATGATCTTATATTTTATTCTCGGTCTTTTCCCGTTCCATATGAATTTGTTTATTTCCTTATTCCACTGATCAAAGACTCGTGTGTTCATTATTATGGGTAAATTCTGGAACAGGTATAAGAACCTGGGTAAGATGTTCATTTTTATGAGAGAGATTTTGCCTAATATTGAGAGATTTAAATATCTCCATTTCTCTAGGTCTTTCTTCACTTTTGCCCATGTTGTTTCATAGTTGTTTTTGTAGAGCTGGGCGTTTTTTGCCGTTAACCAGATGCCCAAATATTTGATTTTAGAGCAGATCTTAAAGCCCGTCATTTCCTTTAGCGTTTCCTGTTTTGTTTTTTATTATATTCTTCGTTAGCATCATTGTTTTATTTTTGTTCAGTTTGAATCCCGCTACCTCTCTAAATTCTTCAAGTTTATTTAGCCACTTCCCTATGTTTTTAATCGGATCTTCCACAATACAAATTAGATCGTCGGCGAAAGCTCTTATTTTATGGTCTTGGTTTGCCAATCTCAGACCTATGACCTCCCTGTCTTCTCTGATTGCTCTTAATAGGGTTTCTAGGGCAAGAATAAAAAGCAGTGGCGAGAGCGGGCACCCCTGCCTTGTGCCTTTGGTAATCGAGATTTTCCCTGATCGTTGTTTGTTGATCTGTATTTTCGCCGACTGGTCTGTGTATATAGCTTCTATAGCATTTTTAAAAAAGTAGCCCATATCTAATTCTGTCATAAGTTGTTTGAGAAATGACCAGCTCAGGTTGTCAAAGGCTTTCTCTGCGTCCAGAGAAAGCCATGCCACCTCTTTCTGGATATTCAGATCATAATATTCTATTGAGTTTATGATGTTCCTTATGTTCTCCTTCGCCCCTCTGTTCGGGAGGAAACCCACCTGGTCTTCCCCTATCCAATCTTTGAGGAAGTTTTTCAGAAATCTGCTGCGTTCGCCATCTTCGCCACTACCGGAAGTGGTTGGTTGTAAAATTCTTGAAATAAAGATCATTAAAAAAAGATATATAAGAAACCATAAATTAAGTTCCTGTTTTGACTCTGGGCCCATCTCCGTGATATCTCTGATTGGGTATGTAAATATTCAGTTTTTGTCTTAATGAACCAACTGATCCCGAGGAAATGGTGAACCATTTCTGCTGCATCAGATTCAGCTTTGCCTTTCTAAAATCAGCAGAACAGAAAGAACTTGGAAGGGAGTAAAGGAGAGCTGCAGGCCGCGTCCCTCCCGTGCAAAACGATGGCGAGGATCGGGCCGTTCAAGGAGGTCGCACCTAAAAAACAAGGTGACCATACAGTGAGGAAACGGGATTCCTGAACCACGTCCCATGATTTCAGCTAGCATCTTGTCACCTCCATGCCATGGTCTACATAATAATAATAATAATAATAATAATAATAATAATAATAATAATAACAATAACAATAGTGATTTTTGATACGAAATCCAGCATATAGATCTCGTTTGCTGTGACATACTGTGCTTTTGTGTCAGTAAAATAATAATGATAATAATAATAATAATAATAATAATAATAATAATAATAATAATAATAGACATTATTAATACCCTGCCACCATCTCCCCAAAGGGGACTCGGGGCGGCTTACATGAGGCCAAGCCCAGTAGTGCAATTACAGTAACATAACAACAATGTAACACAAAAGCATGAAATAAACATTGCAAAAAGATAAATAACAGGAAAAAAAGAAAAAAATGCAAAATGATCCAGAAAAAAATCAAACACAATAAAATCAAACCCATAATAAGGCAAAGAGAACTCTCTAGAGCTCGGTATGGTGTGGGTTGTGGCTCCCACGAACCCGAACCAGCATGGCCACGATGAGAAATACTGGGAGTTGCAATCCCACAATCGCTGGGCATGACCTGTACTTACATGATGGCCTCTTGGATTGGAAGACACGTTTGGAGCCAAGTCACGACCGTACTGCCGTGGGATTCGTAGAGGCGGACGACGAGTGCATCTGCTCTGTCCTCAGCCTGGAAGATACAGCGAGAGGCTGGAGTCTGAAGGGACTTAGATTAAGAACAGGGTGGGAAACAGACTCTTGGACTGCAACTTTGATGGTGGTGTTGTTGTTTTTATGTTTACATATGGTTTATTTGGAGCTCCCAGTGGCGCAGCGGGTTAAACTGCTGAACGTGCTGAGTGAAAGGTTGGCGGGTCGAATCCGGGTAGCGGGGTGAGCTCCCACTGTTAGCCCCAGCTTCTGCCAACCCAGCAGTTCAAAAACATGCAAATGGAAGTAGACCAATAGGTACTGCCTTGGAGGAAAGGTAATGGCGCTCCATGCAGTCATGCCCATGACCACGTGACCTTGGAGGTGTCTACAGACAACGCCGGTTCTTTGGATTAAAAATGGAGGTGAGCACCAGAGTCGCAGAGTCAGACACAACTGGACTACATGTCAGGGGAAAACCTTTACCTTTTATTGGTTATTTTATATGCAGCACACAACGGCTTTTGTGAGCTGTCTCTTCCGTTGTTGTTTATTATTATTATTATTATTATTATTATTATTATTATTATTTTCTTGGGTTTCATCCCTGACTGCACAAGTCTCCATCTCTCAATAAGTAGTTAGCCTAGATAGATTAGACTGAGGGATTCCTCCCCAATTTCCTCTAGCAAGCTCATTTTAAGAAGGGGTTAAGAAGGGGAGTTGCCTTACTCATCTTTGCATGTCACTATCTCCTCCCCTTTTGAATACTTAGGAATGAGATCTCTTTAGGGAAATGCTGAGCTAATTGGGAGACGCCCTAGCACCTCCTGCGTGGGGAATTCAGGGCTATAAATCAGAGGCCGTATTAGTCAGCTTTCGCTGGTAACAACGACCCTGATGCTGATGCTTTCACTCCAATGGAATCTGCTTTGTGTCTGCTGCTAAGGACTTAGTTCACTGCCCGTTGTCTGATGGAAGACGGGGGTTTCTTTTGGGACTTCGTAAGAGACTTCAGTTTGTGTCTGGATTAAGACTTCCTTGCTTTCCTTTGCACTTTTCAATTGCATTTGCTGAAGTAAAGCATTTTTCTTTTACTTTCAACATTGTCTAAAGGCTGTTTTTGAAGGGCAACTCAGGACACGAAGCAAGCCCGTCTCCTCAACACCCATTTCCATATTGTTGGAGAGCAGAGAGATCAAAAGCGATGCATCCAATTCTTCTTGCACCTGGTTGTGATGGGCAAACACCTCCCAAGGACCCTTTGAAGACTTTCTAGATGCCTGTGGCAATATAGTTGGGCACCTCGTCCCTCACTTTCAGCCCAGACATGGCCATGTTGGACAAGCAATGCTTCAAGCCCTTCCGTGCCCACCCACCCACCCTCCCGGCTGCCTTTCGGCCCTGCTGTCCCTCCTCGTCCTAGCACGCCTGACCTGTTTGATTGCCTCCAAAACAACGGCTGGGGACTCCACGGAGAAGGCACTCCAGGCTGGGCCCTGTGCAGAGACGCTCGGCAGGATGTGGAGAGGGAAGTTCAGATTGTATGCCTGGTGGATCACCTGGGCCTCCTGGAAGGAACCTGTCCGAAGAAAAAGCCAGGTGCCGGGGGACTGAAATATTTCTCACTATTGGCACCCTTGCAACCTGCGGGAGCAAAGAGGCCTAAACACTTGTATACAGCAAAGAGTGAAAAGGAACTCTGTTTATTTATTATTTATTTATGTATTTAGAACTTTTGTATCCCGTTCTTCTTTACCTCCGTGGAGGGACTCGGAACGGCTAACAGCAAAAATTCAGTGCACAATAAAAAACATCATAAAAATAACATACACAATAAATAAGTTCTAAAATGCATATGAAAACAATTCATCAAGTTAAAACAACATCCAACTCAGTCCAGAACGTTGTGGTCAACGGCAAAATTCAATGCCCCCAATAACATAAAATATTATTAAAACATTAACATATAATATAAACCATATAAGAAGAATAGAGACAATAAAAACAATAAAACGCAAGTCCTCAGCGTCTCATTAGTAAAATCATTTTCCAGTCGCATCGTGCCATCATTCCAGGGATCTAAAATAACCCTATTCCGCTGCATCTGCAAATGCTTACTCAAAAGGCCAGGTTTTATTTTATTATTTATTTACTTTACTTTACTTCTATACCGCTGTTCTCAGCCCGGAGGCGACTCACGGCGGTTCACAAGACACAGGACACAGCAAAATTCAACACCAATATAAAACAGTTAATAACCTAATCTAATACACAATTAATACACAATTACTATAATAACCATTAACCAAGGTCTCATTACTAAAAACATGATCCAGATTCATCATCCATTGTTCCATTCCTATGTCATTACCAGTCATTGCACAATTATTCGAACGCCTGCTGAAATAACCAGGTCTTTACTTTCTTGCGGAATACCATTAGAGATGGTGCTAACCTAATATCTGTGGGAAGGGCATTCCACAGCCGGGGAGCCACCACCGAGAAGGCCCTATCTCTCGTCCCCTCCAGCCATGCTTGTGACGCTGGCGGGATCGAGAGCAGGGCCTCCCCGGAAGATCTCAAGGTCCTGGTGGGTTCATAGGCCGAGATGCGGTCAGATAGGTAGCTTGGGCCGGAACCGTTTAGGGCTTTAAAGGTCAACACCAGCACTTTGAATTGAGCCCTGTAGCAAATCAGTAGCCAGTGGAGTTGACACAACAGGGGGGTTGTATGCTCCCTGCGTCCCGCTTCTGTTAGAATCATGGCTGCCGAACGCTGGACTAGTTGAAGCTTCCGAGCCGTCTTCAAAGGCAACCCCACGTAGAGAGCGTTGCAGTAGTCTAGGCGGGATGTAACCAGAGCGTGGACTACCGTGGCCAAGTCAGACTTCCCAAGGTACGGGCTCTCTTTGGCTCTCTTTGGGAGTGTTAGGAGGGAGGGGGCCAATCTCATATTACGCTGGTTACGCTGCAGCTTGCTCCACACAGATACAAACTATTCCTGTATACAGCCAACCCAGCTCTGAAACAAGGAGGGCAGCATCTCCTCTCCGCTCCATTGGCCAAGACGTCTCTTGCCTACCTGTGTGCGGCATCACTGCGTAAGTAAACTGGTGGTCACCGATATCTGCAGAGGCGTCCGGAGACTTTGGCGCTCTTAACCTTTGGGGAAGAGTCAAGGGAACAATATAGTAGATGGGTCTTCCAACCTTGTTGATAATAGCAACCTTCCAAACCTTCATGTATGTATCTGCTAACCTTAATTGTATGTGTATGTTGATTTGCTAACCTTTATTGTATGTATATGTTGATTTGCCAGTTCAACCGACCTCTTTGGTGTGGGAGGGGCTACAGACATGTGACTGTACTGACCATGTGCAGACTCAAGGCTCCCTTTTGTTATCAGTATGATTTTGGATTTCAATGTTAGCAGTTCGCTTTCCACCTCGGTGGAGGTGGATGCAGTATGCGTTTGGACTTCAATGGAGACAGTTTGCATTTTGGACTTATACAGGAACAGTTTACTATACGTTTGCATTGAGTACAGTTACACAGTTTATTATTTATTTATTTATTTATTTACTGTATTTGTATACCGCCTTTCTCAGCCTGTCGGCGACTCAAGGCGGTTTCCAACAAAACAGTATATACAATATCATAAAACAATTTAAGAACATTTCAGTTACATAAACCACACAGCATTAAAGACAACATCATTGGCGTCTCCTTATTGTCAAGCATTGTCCAGTTCCATCATCAATTGTCAATTTCCTATATCATTTATCCATATCCGTTACTCTGTGTTTGTAAACGCTTGCTCAAACAGCCACGTTTTGACTTGCTTCTGAAACTTTAAAAGGGAGGGAGTAGATCTAAGCTCTCTAGGGAGGGCGTTCCATAGCCGGGGGGCCACCGCTGAGAAGGCCCTGTCTCTCGTCCCCGCCAAACGCACCTGAGACTAGGTGGGACCGAGAGCAAGACCTCTCCGGACGATCTCAAGGTTCTAGATGGTTCATAAGGGAAGATACATTCGGACAGGTACGTTGGGCAGAACTGTTTAGGGCTTTAAGGGTTAAAACCAAGGTGAAAGAGGAAAGGGCAAAAGCTGGGTTGCAGCTAAACATAAAAAAACCCCAAGATTCTGGCAACAAGAATGATTGACAACTGGGAAATAGAGGGAGAAGACGTGGAGGCCGTGACAGACGTTGTGTTTCTAGGTGCAAAGATGAGTGCAGATGCAGACTGCAGCCAGGAAATCAGGAGACGCTTACTTCTTGGGAGGAGAGCAATGTCCAATCTCAATAAAATAGTGAAGGGTAGAGACATCACACTGGCAACGAAGATCCGCATAGTTAAAGCCATGGTATTCCCCATAATCACCTACGGATGTGAGTGAAGGAAGATAGATGCTTTTGGACTGTGGTGCTGGAGGAAAGTGCTGAGAGTGCCTTGGACAGCAAGAAGATCCAACCAGTCCTTACTTCAGGAAATAAAGCCCAACTGCTCATTGGAGGGAAGGATAGTAGAGGCCAACATGAAGTGCTTTGGCCACATCACGAGAAGACAGGAAAGCTTGGAGAAGAGAATGATGCTGGGGGGAAGGGAAGGAAAAAGGAAGAGGGGCCGACCAAGGGCAAGGTGGGTGAATGGCGTCCTTGAAAGGACTGGATTGACCTTGAAGGAGCCCCTGGGGATGGTGATGGCCAACGGAGCTCTGGCCTGGGATGGTCCATGAGGTCACTGTCAGGATTTACTGAGGTATTGAGATATATTGTGTGTTTTAAATGTAATTCTTGTATTACTAATATGGATGTCACTTAAGAGTGTAATGCTATACTGAAATGTGTATGTTGAGGCTGTGATTGAGTGACCTTAAGATAAGCTCTCTGCTGCTGAGAAAAATTAGGGAGTTAACCACTTGGAGCAGAAGAGCTAAGCAGCTGCAAAAGAACTCTTTTGACTTTCAGTTTTCTTGTGTGTTCCTGTGTGTCGCTCGCTGAAGATGGATGTGCTTTTGCTCTGTGCTTAGTAAACTGAATTTTCCTTGTAACCTGACGTCTCCAGAGTCCATGATTTTACAGAGCTGTATCTGGTGTATCCAGCAATTTCTTCTGTCAAGTTGCGCCTTAGCTTGACAGTCACGAAGAGTCGGAAACAACTGAACGAATGAACAAGAAGAAGAAGAAGATGTATACTTAAAGACTTTGGACTACTGATTAATAATGATGCCCCGTGTTCTCCACACAGAGAAACTATATCCTATCTATAAATGTGCCTGTATGAAGTAATACAAGATGTTTGTGAGTAAACAAGATATGTTCATTTTAAAAGAAGACCCTGTTTTTTTGTCTCTGAGTGCATATTTTAAACTACGAGGTTTCAAGGAAGAGTGTATGTCTTGGGCAAGTGCAATTTCAAAGCTCTGCTAGCTAAGTAGATGTTCTTTGTCCCTGTCAGTACCATTTGAACAGCTGAGTTACCCGTGTGCCATTACATGAATGTTTGCGAACATCACTTTTTCAAAGGATTGACTTCTATAAAAGGAAGTGGTGGTGGAAAAAAGGAAGGAAGTGTATAAAAGGAAGTGGTGGTGGAAAAAAAGCCATGCCATTCCTTGATTCGTGGTTTTCAAAAGGCGGTCTCCAGATGTTCATGGAGATTCACATTTGCCAAAAGGACATGACATCATTTTTCCTTTTCAAAAAGGTTATGAATGCCATTTCCTCAAAAAACTTTGGCAAAACAAAAGCTCTGAGGTCTTTTCCTTCTGCTGGGAGTCTTTCCAACAGACTGCAACTGAGGGAGATGACCTGTGAAGCTTTGACTCTCCATCTGCTGTACTGAACATCAAGGAGCCATTTACATCATTGCTTCTAGTAAATCTACACAGTACACAATAGAGAACAGACTTCTGTTTTGAGGTTCTGTTCTTCGGTGAAAGGAACCCAGCTTTGGAGGATGGAAGACCCTCACCCACCCCCCACCCAGAGAAAACCCTGTATTTATTGGTGGGCCAACCCCCAGAACTCACAAGGAAAGGCTCATCACGTTGCCCCGAACCGAGCAACCGTACTTGCAGTCGTTCAACAGTGCAACCCCAAAGCCATGTTCAGACAGATCCATCCACTTGTGGCTCCACACCTGCAGATGGAAGCAAACCAACTGGAATGAGCAGTCATCCTACTGGGGAAACTGGAGGCTGTTTCTGGTGGGAAACTGGGGGGGGGGGAGGGAGATGGGCAGGAAAAGTGTATAAAAGGAAGTGGTGGTGGAAAAAAGTCAGTAGTGTCTTTCTTTGCTGCAGAGATACAAGCAATATATTCATTTCCAAGCAAAACCGGCTTGTGAGTGATCATTTAATATTGCTATATAAAACCTACAGTCTTACAGAGGCTGGGAGTTACAGTTCAGGAAAAGCATCCTTTTCTCAAATGCCATCTACGAACTGGCATAACAGCAACCTAAAATCCCAGTCTTCCCCTAGACTGACATTCCTGTTACATGTATATTCGGACAGGAGGCACCTGTTGGGAAGGGCTAGGAGTAAGTGGGCGGTACCTCAGGTTCTGTTGAACCCCAACTCCCAGCATTCCTCAACCACTGGCTGTTCCGGCTAGGATCTGCAATACAGGACCATCTGGAGAACCCATGTTGCATAGCCCGGGTGAAAAGGGGCTGAAAGGGTGGGAAGGCCAACCAATGGATAGGATTTCGAGGGAATCTTAGGTTCTAAAATTAGGCATTTATTTATTTATTTGTGCATAGATCCAAAGCCAGATAATCAGAGAATCATACTGATCAATCCAAGGCCAATTCCGACTGTATTGCACAGGTAATTGTGCCGGGCCAAATGCTTGCTCCCAAAGCCAAGTTTTCATTTGTTTGCAAAATGACAGGCAGGAAGGGGCGGATAATCGGTCCTGACCTCAAAGCGGGCCCAGTCCCAGGAGGTGTTCCAATGTGTTGGCCTCTGGAGGTGGCCAAACTGGATCTCGTACGTAGCATTGGGGCTGCGAACCCCGACTGGAAATTCCACCTTGAGGAATTGGTGGGCTTCGTTCCAAGCAACCTACAAAAATAATAATATAGGAAGAGGAAGGAAGTCAAGAGAAGACCACGCACCCGTGAACCCCAGAGGTACACGATCCCTTAGGAGAAGGCCTTCAATGTTCTGAAGATCAAACCTGAGTCTGAAAGCGGACGCAAGGGGAAGCCGTGTCCAAGATGACTTCCTGGGTGAGGATGCTCTTCTGGTTGATCTGCAAGGAGAACTTGGCACTGCCACGCAGACCACCCGACAAGGCCATTTCCAAGGGTTTCAGGAGATGCGTGATGGGTTTCCTGAAAGGGCGTAAGGATGCAGAAGACACCTTACACAAAGTCAAAGCATCGGTCTATCAAGGTCGCTATTACCAACAATAATTGGCCACATCCACTCAATAGAGGAGGTTCTTCAAACCTACCTGGGGATGCTGGAGATTGAATTTGGGACTTTGTGCACACACAGCAAATGATAGTCCACAATAATAATACTACAAGCAGAGGCATACTACCATTGCTCAGACGATTCATTGGAACTTCTGCCACAAATACCATCTGCCTGCGACAACGAACTGGTGGGATCACAAGCCGGAAAGAGTTACAGAAATGAACACGGCAAACTCCTCTGGAACTCATCCAAAAAAAGGGGCTGAACCTCAAACATCCAGTCAAGGGTCTGAACACAAAACTTATTTCCAAACCCTCCTGTTGTCTTCCTGGCATCCTTTACATTACATAGGGCTTCAGCACACCATTCCTTTGAGTTCTCGATTGTCCTCTTGTGCTTGTTGACCTGGCATGGACTCTATCGAATATCGTGTATGAGATCGAATTGTTAGGCCAACCATAATGGCAGTGCTGACTGGAGGATTCTGGGATGTGCAGCAGTAATAATAATAATAATAATAATAATAATAATAATAATAATAATAATAATAATCTGACACAATATGAGGATTTAAAGATCGAACTGCAAAGACTCTGGCACAAGCCAGTCAAGGTGGTCCCAGTGATGATCGGCACACTGGGTGCAGTGCCTCTAGATCTTGGCCTGCACTTAAACACAATTGGCGCTGACAAGATTACCATCTGCCAGCTGCAAAAGGCCACCTTACTGGGATCTGCACGCATTATTTGCAGATACATCACACACTCCTAGACACTTGGGAAGTGTCCGACGTGTGATCCAATACAACAGCCAGAAGAGTGTCTGCTGTGGACTCATCTTGTGGTGTTTCAAATCTAAACACAGTGAAAAATGTGTATGTGTGTATGTGGCAGAGACGTCCACTTACACAAACAGCCTCTGGCCTCTACAAACAGGCTATAGTTCCAAGTACTGAGAAGACTCCAAAGGAACTCCCTCATCTCACATTGCAGGTTATAGTGAGTGCCATGAACATGCAGCCAAACATTGCCAATGTCCTCCCCAAACCCTACGACCCACCACCCAAGGAATGGTTTCATTTGGGGAGAATTACATCCTAGATTTGACATGTTTCCTCCACCACAGGCAGGCATCCCACGGTTCCTTGTGTGGAATTTGCATGACCCTGCCCACTGCCTGTACCTTAACCCCCTCCTACCCTTTCCTATGGCACACAGCAAACACAGACGAATTTCTCAGCAACTGAACAGACTGGAGCTGTTTTGGGGCCTGACTCAACAGGATGGAAGTTGTAGTTCACCTTGCATCAAGACCCCCTTCGAAAATGGATCTGAATTGTCCTTGGCATATGGGAGTTGTAGTTCACCCTTATCCAGAGAGAACTAAACCCAGCCCATGACAGATCTGAACTAAACTTGGCACACACCCCCAACATGGCCAACTACATACTGGCCTGGTTTGGGGAGGATTGATCCATGATTCTGGGAACTGTAGTTCACCCACGTCCTTATGCATTTTCGAATGGGAGCATTCATAAAAAATCAAATCAAAACCTGTCATTTTTCTAATAGATAGTGTTACTAAATGATAACATTTAGTAACTAAATGATATTACCAAACACCTCAAGAAAAACAATGCCGTTTTCAAATAACCCGGGCACCGCCGGGTACTCAAGCTAGTAATAACAACAACAACAACAACAACAACAACAATCTACTAATAGCAAAGCATCTAGTTCAGTTTCCTAAGGTGAAAGTGAAGAGGCTCAAATTGGTACGCATTGGGGTCGTTGCCTGTAAATGCTTGTCCAAAGGAGAGCCCACTCAGTACAGTTCAATTGTTTGAGTGTCGAAACGGAATGAGTCTTACAAACGTCTACAAGCAGTGGCTCTTGGCAAGCAATCCTTGGTTTCCCAGAATCCCACAGGAAGAGCACTGCTTCTTACCTAGTCTCCAAATGATAGTCCATCACATCCCAAGCATCCCAGTACAAAGGAATATCATCAAATATCACAAACTGGTTAGCGCAGGAACCTTCGGGGATGGACTCTCTGGAACAAAGAGACACGGAATCATAATTTGAACTTATTGGTTCTAGATAGCGAGACCTGGACATGTGAAAATATTCTGGATGCAGATGTCAGAGGAACAAACAAAGCAGACTTGTATATGCGTTAGACCAGGCAAACGTCGGCCCTCACTGACTGTGAGGAATTGTGGGAGTTGGAGTCCAAAACACGTGGAGGGCCGAAGTTTGCCCACGGCTGAGTTATACCATATCATCATACAATCTTCTGTGTAGATGCTTACATAGAAGCCAAGTGCCTCTCAGTCAGGTATGTTGCTACAACTCCAAACAGAGTTAAGGTTTAAGGGGAATTGCATGTTTACTGTGTTGGGCGAGTGGGTTTAGTAACAAAAGACCCTCCCCATGAAGAGAGTAACTTATGAGCAGCAGCGTGACTCAGCACCAGGAGCCCAAAGTGAGAAAAAGAACAGAAACACAGAGACCAATGTTCTCTCTTCCTTCAGAGGCTTTTCTTTGTAGCAAAATCATACGGTTGCACTATTTATACAAACAAGGTTTCCGTAAGACAAATAAAGTTCTTTACAGTTCCTTCTTTGCTTCCACGCTGGGCTTCTTTCTCATTCAGATAAACAGCTTCACTCTCACAGAGCCTCCTCTCAGACCGAAATTACACAGGAGCTTCACATAGTAGCTTTACACCCGAGGCCTTCAATTTGGGACTTCTCTCACCGAAGCTTCTCACACCAGGCCCTCTCACACTCTGCCTTCTCATAGACGAAGGCCTTCCTCCCACTGTGAGGCCTTCTCGCAGATGAAGGTCTACCTCACACTGTGAGGCCTTCTCACAAACAAAGGCCTTCCTCACACTGTGAGGCCATCTCACAGACTAAAGCTTACTTCACACTGTGAGGCCTTCTCACAGACTAAGGCCTACCTCACACTGTGAGGCCTTCTCACAGACTAAGGCCTTCCTCACACTGTGAGGCCTTCTCGCAGACTAAGGCCTAGCTCACACTGTGAGGCCTTCTCGCAGACTAAGGCCTAGCTCACACTGTAAGGCCTTCTCACAAACAATGGCTTATCTCACACTGTGAGGCCTTCTCACAGACTAAGGCCTTCCTCACACTGTGAGGCCTTCTCGCAGCCTACCTCACACTGTGAGGCTTTCTCACAAACAAGGGCCTTCCTCACACTGTGAGACCTTCTCGCAAACTAAAGCCTACCTCACACTGTGAAGCCTTCTTACAGACTAAGGCCTACCTCACACTGTGAGGCCTTCTCACAGACTAAGGCCTACCTCACACTGTGAGGCCTTCTCGCAGACTAAGGCCTACCTCACACTGTAAGGCCTTCTCACAAACAACGGCTTATCTCACACTGTGAGGCCTTCTCACAAACTGAGACCTTTCCCCCACTGAGGTTTACCTCAGACTGATGGCTCCTAAGCTACAGGCACACCTGCTTATATAGAACTGCAGCCTTTGCTGAGCCATTGCATCCATTTAACCCTTTCAGTGCTGGGCTCACATTCTTGTAATTAAATTACCTACTTAATTACCTACTTCGCAAAGAATTGTAGACTGGAAGAAACCCCTTCAAAGGACCAATGGCAAATAAAAACAATAGGCGTAATGAATATGGCTGAACTGACTCAACTCCTAACAAGACATCAAGGAACACCAAGGAACAAACAAACTGGCAACCATTTAAGAAATAAGAAAGCATTAATTATCTAAACACAAAAGAACAACGAGATTAGCACAAAGGGAGAAAGAATATGTAAACATATATACTAGATATCTTCTTTTTTCTTTTCTCTTCGCTTTTTCTAAAGGAAGAAATGAAAGGAATGATATCACAAGCAAGGAAGAAGACCGAAAGTACAAAAAACTCAACATTTTATTTTCATATCAAGTAATGAACCACTTTCTTGCGTTTACAGCCGTTATTTAAACCATTAATATTAGAAGATATAATTTTTAAGTTTTGTATAGACATTTTAATCTACTCTACCCTATCCTGACATACTGTGGGATAATTGTGCAATAATTGATTTTAACTGTACCTCTCAGCTTCCATCAGACGCAATGAAGTCATGCGGCCCATCGTATCCAGGCGAACCCAGACGATGCCATTCTCCATGACCACTGAGCCATCGACCTATATGCGAAAACGGAAAGACAAACGAGACCCTTCCATGTCTCCCCAACCTTTTCCAGAGACATCAGACAGTAATGGGAAAACCGAATGCAGGATTATTTTTTAATTTACAACATTTCTATGCCGCCCTTCTCACCCTGAAGGGAACTCAGAGCGGCTTACAATATACATATACACACATATATAAATACACAATACATTATACCATTAGTACAGTACAATATCAGTGCTATACATCACTATATTGTACTATACAATAAATTGTAATATTTATTAAATGTAATATAAAATATATAATTATAATATCATATTATTAGTAGTAGTATTAGTAGAAAGCTGTCTTCATAGACCTCTCAGTGGCTTATGATACTGTAAACCACTGTCTCCTGAGAAAAATGTATAATATCACAAAGGACTACCATCTCTCCCGCCTCATAGGAAACCTGCTACAAAACAGGAGCTTTTTGTTGAGTTCCAGGGCCAGAGAAGCAGATGGCGGAAACAGAAGAACGGCCTGCCTCAGGGGAGCGTGCTTGCTCCATCCATGTTCAACATCTACACAAATGACCAGCCACTGCCAGAAGGGACAGAGAGTTTCATCTATGCTGATGATCGTGCCATTACTGCTTAAGCAGGGAGCTTTGAGATGGTTGAACAGAAGCTCTCCGAAGCTCTAGGTGCTCTTACTGCAGGGAAAACCAGCTGATCCCTAATCCATCTAAAACACAGACATGTGCCTTTCACCTTAAGAACAGACAAGCATCCCGAGCTCTGAGGATCACCTGGGAAGGAATCCCACTGGAGCATTGCAGCGCACCCAAATACCTGGGAGTCACTCTGGACCGTGCTCTGACCTAAAAGAAGCACTGCCTGAACATCAAGCAAAAAGTGGGTGCTAGAAACAATATCATACGAAAGCTGACTGGCACAACCTGGGGATCACAACCAGACACAGTGAAGACATCTGCCCTTGCTCTTTGCTACTCTGCTGCTGAGTATGCATGCCCCAGTGTGGAACACATCTCACCACGCTAAAACAGTGGATGTGATTCTTAATGAGACATGCCGCATTATTACGGGGTGTCTGCGCCCTATATCACTGGAGAAATTACACTGTTTAGCCGGTATTGCACCACCTGACATTCACCGAGAAGTAACAGCCAATAGTGAAAGGACCAAGGCAGAGACATCTCCAGCTCATCCCCTGTTTGGGTGTCAGCCAGCACGTCAACGCCTTAAATCAAGAATTTATTTTATTTATTTATTTATTAAATTTATTTGTATCCCGCCCGCTACCATCTCCCCAAGGGACTCGGTGCGCCTTACATGAGGCCGAGCCAAACAACAACAATACAAGCAATAAAACAACAATACAAGCAATTAAAAAACATAGACAATAAAATAAACAACATTATCAATAAAAACACACAGTTAAAAACAGAGGGGAGGCCAAATGTAAAGTTAAAATTGGAAATATGCTGGGACATGAACGGAAGGTGATACTGGTGTTTGTGACAGGGCATACGAGCAGACTTAGAAAATGTAATGTGCTTTGGAGGACAAAGTACTATGGAATCATTATCTTAGTTTTCTAAGATCTATAGAGACACTCGTTGGAACACCCCAGCAAGCGAGAGTCCAAAAGTGGCAGGCTCAAACCCAGAACCTCAACCAATAGCAGATACCAAATGAGAGACTCCCCCCTGGGCACACAGAAGACTGGGCGACTTGGAAGGCACTGAACAGACTGCGCTCTGGCACCACGAGATGCAGAGCCAACCTTAAGAAATGGGGCTACAAAGTGGAATCCACGGCATGCGAGTGCGGAGAAGAGCAAACCACAGACCACCTGCTGCAATGCAACCTGAGCCCTGCCACATGCACAGTGGAGGACCTCCTTGCGGCAACACCACAGGCACTCCAAGTGGGCAGATACTGGTCAAAGGGCATTTAACCAAATACCAAGCTTGCAAACTTTGTGTTTTGTCTCTTTGTTTTGTTAAAAATGTAATACAAATGTGTGGTTGCTCCTGACACGATAAATAAATAAATAAATAAATAGTAGTATTATACTGTATTATATTATAATATAAATATTATATATACATACAATATATTATATTATATTATATTTATTATATTATTAGCATAGCGCAGGAGACAAGGTGGAACGGGTGTGGGTCGCAGGAGGCTGGGTTCCACAGCTCCCCTCTCCCACAAGGTCGCTATTCAAGGAAAAGGCACAAAACTCGCTCACCTCTTGGGTCACGGTCACTGGATGGCAAGGGGACAAGGACTCCTGGACGGCACAGTAACCCACGCTGGGAACAGTCACTAGAGCTAAGATTAAGAGACAGAAAAAAATATATATATGTTATATTTAGCCTAAACTTGTATAAGGAGCTGGCATAGCGCTTCCAAATATGATGTTTAGAAACCCAAGGACATGAAGCCAAACGGGCACCTAATGTCTCTGCTCCTCCTGCTCCAGCTTTAGCAACGACTTCCGTCCGTTCCCAAGGCAATGTGTTCACCACGAGGACGCTTCCGCCGGCCTTTCCATGGCTTCCCAACTGGTCTCCAAACAAAGACCGCATTGCGTCTTTCAGAAGCTCGGCTCCAGAGCTTCGGATTTCTGGGAGAAAGGAAGAAGCATGCAGATTCAGGGGAGCCCTCTGGAACACAATAAATACGACACAAAGGCCTTGGCCTGAGAGGGATGAGCATGTGCTCTCTGTGCTGAGCTACAGTTATTTATATTATTACTAGCCGCCCCCTGCCACACGTTGCTGTGGCCCACATGGGGGTTCTGTGTGGGAGGTTTGGCCCAATTCTATTGTTGGTGGGGTTCAGAATGCTCTGTGATTGTAGGTGAACTATAAATCCCAGCAACTACAACTCCCAAATGTCAAGATTCTATTTTCCCCAAACTCCACCAGTGTTCACATTTGGGCATATTGAGTATTCGTGTGAGTTTGGTCCAGATCCATCATTGTTTGAGTCCACAGTGATCTCTGGATGTAGGTGAACTACAACTCCAAAACCAAAGGACACTGCCCACCAAACCCTTCCAGTATTTTCTGTTGGTCATGGGAGAACTGTGTGCCAAGTTTGGTTTAATCCCATCGTTGGTGGGGTTCAGAATGCTCCGTGATTGTAGCTGAACTATAAATCCCAGCAACTACAACTCCCAAATGTCAAGATTCTATTTTCCCCAAACTCCACCAGTGTTCACATTTGGGCATATTGAGTATTCGTGTAGAGTTTGGTCCAGATCCATCATTGTTTGAGTCCACAGTGATCTCTGGATGTAGGTGAACTACAACTCCAAAATCAAAGGACACTGCCCACCAAACCCTTCCAGTATTTTCTGTTGGTCATGGGAGAACTGTGTGCCAAGGTTTGGTTTAATCCCATCGTTGGTGGGGTTCAGAATGCTCCGTGATTGTAGCTGAACTATAAATCCCAGCAACTACAACTCCCAAATGACAAAATCATTTTTTTTAGTGAAGGACATACATTGGCCTGATATGTGTCTTGTGTCCAAATTTGTTGTTAATTCCCCCAGTGGATTTTGGGTTATGTTAATCCCACAAACGAATATTTTTATTTTTATTTATATAGATTTATTATTTATTTACAACATTTCTACCCCGCCATTTTCAACCCCCCGAGGGGGGACTCAGAGTGGCTAACACTGGAAACAATGTGATGCCACAATATTACAATATAACAACAATATAGAGCCATAAATACACAATAGATTAAAAACAATAACATTAAATATACAGTCACATAGCCGTTTCCATTATCATAACAATCATATGGTCCAGTTCAATGTCCAAAGTGGCCATAGTGCCTGCTAGTCAAAAGCCTGGCTCCACGACCACAATTTTGGTTCTTTCCTAAAGGAAAGGAGGGAGGATGCCAATCTATTCTCGCTGGGGAGCGAATTCCACAGGCGGGGGGGGGGGGTCACCACTGAGAAGGTCCTGCCACTTGTCCCTACCAGATGCATTTGTGAGGCTGGTGGGACCGAGAGCAGGGCCTCCCCAGTGGATCTTAAACTACAAGGCGGAACGTAGAGGGAGATACATTCGGACAAGTAAGCTGGCCCGGAGCCGTATAGGGCTTTATAGTTCCCCTTGTGGGAGCTCTACTTGAGCTACCGTTTGTCCCTGACAGCAGCACCATTGTTGACAACCTGTCGTTATCTGTGTGTCCCTTCAGACATCAAATGTTAAGTGTTTACATGTTTAAGTTTTAGAATCATAGAGTTGGAAGAGACCTCGGAGGTCATCCCCCATCTGCTATGCAGGGAAAGCACAATCAAAGCACCCCCAACAGAGGGCCATTCAGTCTGTTTAAAGGCCTTCAAAGAAGGAGCTTCTACCACACTCCGAGGCAGTGAGTTCCTCTGTTGAACAGTCAAGAAGTTCTTCCTAGTGTTCAGGTGGAATCTCCTTTCTGGTAATTTGAACCCATTGTTCCATGGAGTCCTAGTCTCCACGGCGTCCTTGCTGTGCGTTTCCCTCTTCCTACCTGCATAGTATCTCATGGCATCCTCGGCTACAAGTTGGATACAACTGCCCGGCAAAACATCATGGAACTGGTTCAGGAGCAGCAATCTGCAACCAGAAGGGAGGAAACAAAAACACAGGAAAGGAGCTGAGATCTAAGAAAAAGGGGAACCTGTCTACCTGTATAGTACAACTAATATAATATAATATAATATAATATATTGTATATATTTAAATATTTTGTATATATTTAAATAATATATTGTATATCTATATATATAAATCTGTTAGGTTGGTTCAACTGGACAGCAAAACTCCACAACCCCCCAACGAAACTGTACCAAAATTGCCATGCCCATAACACAACCCACAAGGTACAAACATATCTACTCAAAATGAAAAACAACACAACACACTCACAAAACAGCAAAACAACAAAACTAAAAAAAAAACCAACGAAACCTAACCAAAATTGCCATGCCCATAACACAACCCACAAGGTACAAACATATCTACTCAAAATGAAAAACAGCACAACAACACACTCACAAAACGGCAAAACAACAAAACTCAAAAAAACCCAACGAAACTTAACCAAAATTCCCATGCCCATAACACAACCCACAAGGTACAAACATATCTACTCAAAATGAAAAACAACACAACACACTCACAAAACAGCAAAACAACAAAACTAAAAAAAACCAACAAAACTTAACCAAAATTCCCATGCCCATAACACAACCCACAAGGTACAAACATATCTACTCAAAATGAAAAACAACACAACAACACACTCACAAAACGGCAAAAGAACAAAACTCAAAAAAACCCAACGAAACTTAACCAAAATTCCCATGCTCATAACACAACCCACAAGGTACAAACATATCTACTCAAAATGAAAAACAACACAACACACTCACAAAACAGCAAAACAACAAAACTAAAAAAAAAACCAACGAAACCTAACCAAAATTGCCATGCCCATAACACAACCCACAAGGTACAAACATATCTACTCAAAATGAAAAACAGCACAACAACACACTCACAAAACGGCAAAACAACAAAACTCAAAAAAACCCAACGAAACTGTACCAAAATTGCCATGCCCATAACACAACCCACAAGGTACAAACATATCTACTCAAAATGAAAAACAACACAACACACTCACAAAACAGCAAAACAACAAAACTAAAAAAAAAACCAACGAAACCTAACCAAAATTGCCATGCCCATAACACAACCCACAAGGTACAAACATATCTACTCAAAATGAAAAACAGCACAACAACACACTCACAAAACGGCAAAACAACAAAACTCAAAAAAACCCAACGAAACTGTACCAAAATTGCCATGCCCATAACACAACCCACAAGGTACAAACATATCTACTCAAAATGAAAAACAACACAACACACTCACAAAACGGCAAAACAACAAAACTCAAAAAAACCCAACGAAACTTAACCAAAATTCCCATGCCCATAACACAACCCACAAGGTACAAACATATCTACTCAAAATGAAAAACAACACAACAACACACTCACAAAACGGCAAAACAAAACACAAAATCCCCCAACGAAACTTAACCAAAATTCCCATGCCCATAACACAACCACAAGGTACAAACATATCTACTCAAAATGAAAAACAACACAACAACACACTCACAAAACGGCAAAACAACTGAGCATGCGCATTGGCGCCCAGCCGCAAGTTCCCTGGCGCGCGCACACAGCCTTCCGGCCAACGTTCCCTCTGCGGAAGCCATGCCCACTCCAAGCCCCGCCGCGCCGCTTCCCGCACACACACACCCCCTGCCGCACACACACACAACCCCACGCTCCATCACTCCCCCCACCGCCGCACACACACACGCAACCCCACTCCCCCCGCTGCCGCACACACACACGCAACCCCACGCTCCATCACTCCCCCCGCCGCCGCACACACACACACAACCCCACGCTCCATCACTCTCCCCTGCCCCAATCTTACCTCCTTTTACTTCACGCCACCTCCAAACCCCACCCCGCCCCTTCCCCCCCTGTCAAAATCCAGGAAAGACAGGAAAGAAGGAAAGAAGGAAGAAAGGGGGGAAGGAAGGGGGAAGGAAGGAAAGTTAGAGAAAGAAGGAAGAAGAAAAGGAAAGGAAAGATGGAAGGAAAGAAAAGAGACAGCAGAAGAGAAAGAAAAAGGGGGAAGGAAGGAAAGAGGTAGAGAAGGAAGAAATGAGAGACAGAGGGAGGGAAAGAAAAAGGGGGAAGGAAGGAAGGAGAGAAGGAAAGAAAAAAGGGAATAAAGGAAGGAAAGAGGGAGTGAAGGAAGGGGGAAGATGTAGAGAAAGAGGGAGGGAAGGAAAGAAGGAAAGAGAGAAGGAAGAAAAGAGACCAGAAGAGAAAGAAAAAGGGGGAAGGAAAGAAAAAAGGGAATGAAGGAAGGAAAGAAGGAGTGAAGGAAGGGGGAAGATGTAGAGAAAGAGGGAGTGAAGGAAAGAAGGAAAGAGAGAAGGAAGAAAAGAGACCAGAAGAGAAAGAAAAAAGGGGAAGGAAGGAAAGAGATAGAGAAGGAAGAGGAGAAGGAAAGATGGGAGGGAAGGAAGGAAGGAGGGAAAGAAGGAGAGAAAGAGGGAAGGTTGGCGGGTAAAGGTTGTTATTTCTATGATTATTCTGATGCTATTATTCCTATGAGACCCTTTTAGGGGGAATGGGAGAGGTGTCAGGTCCCAGAGGCAATGCATTGCATTATTGTTATTGTTATGATGGTGGTGAAATAAAAGGAAATAAAAAGAGAAAGAAGGAAGCAAACAGGGAGGGAAGAAAGGCAAAGGAAGAAAGGGGGAGGGAATGAAGGAAAGAGAGAAGGATGAAACCAAGTAGTGAAAGAAGGAAAGAAAGAAAGAGGTAGAGAAGGAAGAAAGGAGAGAAAGGGGGAGGAAAAGGGGGAAGGAATAGGTAGGTACCTCTCTTTCATAATAGTCCAGATATCTACCTCAACTTTGATAAGTTTTACTATAGGCCACAGCAACGTGTGGCAGGGCACAGCTAGTATTGTATATATTTAAAAACATTTAAAAAGAATCTCAAAACCTGGCTTTTCCACTGTGCCTTTGGCGAGTAGGTGCTCAGTATGATTTTTTATATCCCCTCAACGTTTTTGGCTAATGGAGTTCATGCCCTCCAAATAGGATGTTTTTGCCCCATAACTTTAAGGGTTTCATGACTTCCATTTAAACTTCCTGCTCCTATTTTATCTCATTGTAGTCTGTTAATTGTTTTTATTTGGAATATATGGCCCGCTCATTGTCATTTCTATCGTGATTGTGTTTATTGGTATTTTATTTTATTTATTATCATTTATTATTTTAATGTCATTTTGATAATATTGTTGTTGTCTAATGTATATGCTTTGATTTTATTGCTGTATTGTTTTGTCCGGGCTTGGCCCCATGTAGGCCACACCGAGTCCCCGGGGGTAGAAATAAAGTTTATTATTATTTATTATATACATATAATATTGATATTATAATGTAATAAAATATAATACTACTACTAATAATATGATATTATAATTACATATTTTATATTACATGAAATATCACTAATAATATTACAGTATAATATTATAGTACAATCTAGTAATATTTATTTATTATTTATTTATTTAGAGCTTTTTTAACCCAGTCTTCTCGACCTCCGAAGAGGGACTCGGACCGGCTAACAACAGGAAATTCGTACACAAATAAGCTAAAACATAATAACATCATAATACGTTAATACATTAAAGTACATTAAAATGCAGATTAAATAATTACATCAAGCCAAGTCATCAAGGTAAATCACAAATTCATCACCATCCGCCAATGTGGTCAGCAGTTATTGACTCGATCATCATTCTGAGAATGCTATGTTCCAAAGCCAAGATTTTACCAGCTTTCTGAAAGTCAGGAGGGAAGGGGCAGATCTGATCTCCATTGGGAGAGAGTTCCAGAGCCGAGGGGCCACCACCGATAGGCCCTGTCCCTCGTCCCCACCAGACGCGATTGCGAAGGTGGTGGGACCGAGAGCAGGGCCCCTCCAGAAGATCTTAACAACCTCGATGGTTCATAGGGGAGAATCCGTTCGGACAGGTAAACTGGGCCGGAGTCGTTTAGGGATTTATAGGTCAGCACCAGCACTTTGAATTGTGCTCGGAAGCTAATCGGCAGCCAGTGGAGCTGGTGCAAAAGAGGAGTAGTATGCTCCCTGTACCCCGCTCCTGTTAGTAATCTGGCTGCCGCTCGTTGGACTAATTGCAGCTTCCGGGCAGTTCAGAGGCAACCCCACGTGGAGGGGGCACCATATATAATATTAATATTGTGCTATGGTTATAATATATTGTATTTACATTTTACTTGTAAGCAGCTTCAGGGTGAGAATAAATAAACTTCCATATCCATGATACTGATACACGTCAGCCCACTTTGGTTGGGATTCAATGTTTACTTTTAAGCTCTTTTTTTGTATTTATATTTGAATTATTGTATGTTTACTTTTAAGCTTTTTTATTGTATTTCTATTTGAATTACTTCTAAGCTTGTTATTGTATTTATATTCGAATTATGTCATGTTTTATTATTGTATGTTTACATTGATACGTTAATTGTTTAAATTCATATGTTTATTATTATATGTGTAATGCGGCATTGTATGCCATGGATTGTGAGCCACCCTGAGTCCCCCACTGGGGTGAGAAGGGTGGGGGAAAATGTAGTATAATAATAATAATAATAATAATAATAATAATAATAATAATAATAATAATAATAATATGGTTTCACTTTAGGTGAAGGTAAAGGTTTTCCCCGACACTAAGTCCTGTCGTGTCTGACTCTGGGACTCTGGTGCTCATCTCCATTTCTAAGCTGAAGAGCTTCCACCAGAAGTTGACCTAGAGTCACCTTGGAGGTCTCAGAAATGCGAGGCGTATTCCTTGGAGGAATTTTCTAGGTCCTCTACTGCAATTCTGTAGCATCCTTCTGCTGGAAGTTGCTCACTCCAATTAGGTTTGCTGTTAGCCATGGTTTTGTTTCCCTTCCCTAAGCCCAAGAATGCATCCCGCCTAGATCATCAGGGGATCCTACTGCATTTGGTTCATGAAGGTTGAGCACAAGTACGTACTTTAGATGGCCATGAATAATGCACCACAACACTCTGTCCCTCCTGTTTGGTCCACAATGCCCTAAGCACGCTCACCTTTCAGTCTTGTCCCCCCACACAACACTTTGACACACTGCAACTCAAGGTGGGAGAAAYCCAAAGCGGTACCTCCAGAGATGCTGAARCTTTRCYGAAGGGTACCGGAAGGAACTCTTCCTCGAGAGGGCAAGGCTGCCCAGAACCTCCACGTCACGGAGCAGGCGCTCACACTCCCGGTTCCCCTTCTTGATCTGAATTTTTTWWAAAAAATAAGCATARTGGASAAGTTATTACCAAAAATYAGAAAGTCAGGCATTGACAATAATAAGATAACAACCTTTACAAGGAACGTCACTCTGACCCCACAACTCTGGATGATCTCCCCCAGCGGATTCATTTTTTTTTCCTATCTATGTAATCGGGTTTTTTTAATTATTGTATAATACATAGAAACATACCATCTTTGAAAGCAACATTCAAAATACCAGTATTTTCCCCAATCCCGCCACCACCACAATCCCCCCCCCCTCGGAAACAAATAAGTACTTTAGCTGTGTTTATTACAATTGTTCAATCATGAAAATAGTTTTGTTCGACACCGTATATTTATCTTTCCCCTTTATTCTATATATGAGACCCTTCCATTTTGCTTTCCATGTCCTTTTGCTTTGACCCGTCATATAGTAACTTTTCCCTTCGCTAATATAATCTTGAAGAAGGTAATCTGCTAAATATTTGTACCAGGTTTTTGTATCCCATTTCTTGTGGTCTTTCCAGCCCAGGGCCACTGAGGCTTTAATTCCCTCTATCATATGTTTTATTATTTCCTCACTTTCCTTATATTCCCCTTTACTTTTGAATTTCTGAATGAAAAATTGGGCATTATTCCATTCTATCTTGATCCCTAATAGTTCCTCCATTTCCTTCCTGATTATTTCTGGGAACTTTTGGATTTTTTCACATTCCCACCACATGTGGGCATATGTTCCTATTTTACCACAGTTGTGCCCCAGCGGCTTCATGTAAATGTTAAACAAATTGTAACTCTACCCTCAACGTCTCTACCCTCCACCCCCCTATCTACCCACCTTCCCCCATTACCTACTCCTACTTTCCTATACACCTGATATGTTCCCCCTCTTTTAAGTGTATTTCAGAAAAACCTTAATAAATATTAATAAAAAAATAGGCATCACTTCTGCAGGAATGGAACGGCACTCCATGCAGTCCTGCCAGTGGCCACATGACCTTGGAAGTGTCTATGGACAACGCTGACTCTTCCGCTTAGAAATGGAGATGAGCCCCAGAGTCAGGCACGACTGGACTGAATGTCAAGGGGAAAGCTTGACCTTGACTCACCTACCCGTGGGTGGTATATGTGCCGTTATGGAGCTCCAAGAACAATTCTCCCACCCAGGTGCAGAGCTGGGCCTTCTCCTTCTCCAGAGAAGAGAACAGCCGGTCCGGGGACGACATCTGCACCCTGCAAGGCAGAAAGACGCCGTTTGGGGGAAAGCGACGAGAAGGACCACAGGAATCGAGTGGGTTCGCAGGTAACACACAGCCCACTCCGTCCCCCCCCCCCCATACTTCTGTGACCAATAAAAAAAATAGGATATTTGGATACTTATCCTGAAATATGTTGTGCCATAAACTAAAGTAGTGTAATCTCACTGTTGTAGGAAATGAATATTCTCCTGATATTCAAATGTCCTGAATTTTTCTGTGTGCAAGAAACTGTGATATTTTTGTGAGCAGGAAACCTCTTCCGCTTTCTCCAGCGGACCTTAAAACTTAGGGATAGGAGGATAACGGTCTTTCGGACTGTGGTGGAGCCTCCTTCTTTGGAGAATTTCAACAGAGGCTGGGTGGCCATCTGTCAGGAGGGCTTTGAGTGTGGCAAAATGGCGTTGCTTGGATGGTCCTTGGGGTGTGGAGGACATAATAATAATAATAATAATAATAATAATAATAATAATATAACTGCATTCCTTAATAATAATAATAATAATAATAATAATATTTTATTTGTACCCCGCTACCATCTCCCCAAGGGACTCGGTGCGGCTTACATGAGGTTGAGCCCAAACACAACAATACAAGCAGCAATAATAACAATATAAGCAATTTAAAAACATAAACAATAAAATACACAACATTACCAATAAGACAGCACACAATTAAAAACAGTGGGACCAACCTGGGCAAGCCGTCCACATCCTTCATCCTTTGCAGCCGGTCCAGCATGTCCTGCGTTGGGCCGCCACCGCCGTCTCCAAATCCAAAGAGGGCGGCGCTGTGGTTCACACGGCCCTTGTCTCGGTTATTTCTCACCGTTTTTAACATCTAGGAAAAGAGGCCACACAAAAGCGATGCCAGCACGTTTGCCTCGCAACACTTTTCCAGCCCAACGCTCGGCCATTTCGGCCCCGCCCTGGGAGCCCCCCCCCCATTGGGATGCTTTGCAAAGCAAATACTTGGATTTGGGGTTTTTTGTTTATTTATTTACCGTATTTATATCCCCCCCCCCTTCTCAAGGGGACTCGGGGCCGCCTTACAAAGGCAACAATCCCATGCCATGTTATTAACACATTGGTAAATAAACAAAAATGTTAAAACTAAACCCATTGAAAACATTGCACTAAAAGATAAATTAAAATCACATGATCCAAATGGTATTCCAGGGCCGGTCCGAGTCATCGTTATATGAGTTTGTAGTCTCATATTGCACGACTGGTCAGAAGCCTGATCCTACAGCCATGTTTTCAGGTTTTTTCCCCTGAAGGTCAGGAGGGAGGAGGCAGAACGAATGTCACTGGGGAGGGAGTTCCATAGGTGAGGGGCCACCACGAAGAGGGCCCTGTCTCTTGTCCCCACCAGCCGTGCTTGCGAGACCGAGAGCAGGGCTTCCCCTGACGATCTCAGCCTCTGAAGCAGACCATTGAGAGAGAGATACGTTTGGACAGGTAAACTTTAGCCTTATATTATTATTATTATTATTATTATTATTATTATTGAGAAACATCTTCAAACAGGAATAGAGAATTCCCCCCCTCCTCCCTCTCTCTCTCCTATCTCCTTCTCCAAGGTTAAAACTATTATTATTATTATTATTATTATTATTATTATTATTATCACAAACCCCCTTCTGCCTTCATGCAGGGAATGCACAATTAAAGCACCCCTGAAAGATGGCCATCCATTCTTGATAATAATATAATAATAATAGTTTTAACCTTGGAGAAGGAGATAGGAGAGAGAGAGAGAGGAGGGGGGAATTCTCTATTCCGGTTTGAAGATGCTTCTCAATAATAATAATAATAATAATAATTAGTAGTAGTAGTAGTAGTAGTATTATAATCACAAACCCCCTTCTGCCTTCATGCAGGGAATGCACAATTAAAGCACCCCTGAAAGATGGCCATCCATTCTTAATAATAATAATAATAATAATAATAGTTTTAACCTCTGAGAAGGAGAGGGGAGAGAGAGGGGGGGGGGAATTCTCTATTCCGGTTTGACGATGCTTCTCAATAATAATAATAATCACAAACCCCCTTCTGCGTTCATGCAGGGAATGCAAAATTAAAGCACCCTTGACCGATGGCCATCCATTCTTAATAATAATAATAATAATAATAATAATTTTAAACTGTTGGGCCAGGAAGAAGACGTTTAGCTGGGTGAAAACAAGCCATTTTAAAGCGTTTTAAAGACTGGAGTTTGGTTTTGGTTAGTTGTTAGTTTTATCACCAACAGTCAACAACAGAAGGAGAGGGAAGCTTCAGAAGTTCCCTCTGTCCCGTTTGGAGGTTTTTTTCACGTATTGCGCGTATTGCGCAATCGTGTCTGCCATTAACGAATCGATTCGCATATTTACGAAATTTCGTAAATATCGAAATTTTGAAATCATAAATTTCGGAAGTCCTCTGAAATTCGAAACGCTGGCACCCCCTAGAAACGAAGCAAGTTTAGAACCAAATTTTTTCTTGATCGCCCAAACCTACTATGTAGACATGAAACTCACTTATGTTTTATCAGCACCTTATGCGTGTAATCTGAAGGTAGCTTCACCCAACCTTTGACGTGATTTTGTGCAGGAGTGAGTCTCGACTCGAATCAATGGTCAACTGGCTCTTAATCCCCATTAATGTCTTGGATTTAATAATAATAATAATAATAATAATAATACTTTATTTATACCCCGCCACCATCTCCCCAAGGCACTCAGAGCGGCTTACATGAGGCCAAGCCCAACAACACATCCATAAAACAACAAGCAATAACCAAATAAACAATACAATTAATCAATAAACAATACACTTTTTAGTTGGATTGAGCCATCAGAAGAAGGCTTACCAAACCTATTGACCTTTTGCATACTATTCTATGGTGTCTCCCTTTCCTCCTGCCTGTCTGCGAGCGGGGGCCGCACTGCCTTACACCCCCCACCGCGGAAGAAAGTCTTTGGGGAAGGAGGCACGAGACCTCCGCCTTCACGTACCTCCTCCACACGACCGGACAGCCCGTAGGAATCTGCAGGCGGGAAGTGAGCCAGCACCTGAGACCCGTCAAGGCCTTCCCAAAGGAAGGTATTGTGCTGCAAGAAAGAGACCCCCAATGAAGAGCTTGACCTCACAAGCGCTTCCTGCAGCCCCCCATTGCCCACCCTGGCTGGAATGTTCCAGGAGTTGAGGGGCAAAAATAAGGTTGAGGAACTCAAAGAAGCAACGTGTGAGGGAACCGGGGGAGTCTCCACCTCTTCCACCCACTTGGCCCTTTTGCCCTTTACAAGCCCTTCCTGAGTCTGAGCTCAAGTTGACTGCTGCCACGGACAGAATGGGAATGAATGCAAGGCCGGTCTTCCTTGCTGAATTGCAACACCCAGATAAAGATGCAAAAAATGGAAACAGAGAGCAGTGATTGCATGAGAAATAATAATAATGGGTTCTTGTGGGTTTTTCCGGGCTATATGGCCATGTTATAGAGGCATTCTCTCCTGACGTTTCGCCTGCATCTATGGCAAGTATCCTCAGAGGTAATGAGGTCTGTTGGAACTAGGAAAAAGGGTTTATATATCTGTGGAATGACCAGGGTGGGACAAAGAACTCTTGTCTGCTGGAGCTAGGTGTGAATGTTTCAACTGACCACCTTGATTAGCATAAAATGGGCTGACTGTGCCTGGAGCTAACTTTTGTTGAGAGGTAATTAGATGTCCCTGCCTGCTTCCTCTCTGTCGTTGTGCTATTGGTACTGGCTACCAGTATTAAAAAATTGCAACAGCACAACAACAGAGAGGAAGCAGGCAGGGACATCTAATTACCTCTCAACAAAAGTTTGCTCCAGGCACAGTCCCCACCCCCGCCTGTGAAGGAGGTGGGAGCGTGAGCATCGGTTTAACAGCTGAGTGATCCATGTGCCATTACATGAATGTTTGCGAACATCACTTTTTCAAAAGGGTTGACTTCTAACAAGGCCTTTCCTTGACTCGTGGTTTTCAAAAGGTGGTCTCCAGATGTTCATGGAGATTCGCATTTGCCAAAAGGATATGACATCATTTTTACTTTTCCCAAAGGTTATGAATGCCATTTTTCCAAAATCACAGACAGTACAACGTAACCCGCTGTTTTCAAACCAACTCCTTCCCCACCCTCGGCCTCCCAAACCCTAACTCAGATCTCCTCCATTCCACTCTTCCTAACCGCTCTATTTAACACCCCCTGCTATAGTCAGGTCTCTATGACATCCCATGAGCTGTGATTGACGATCTCGAGCTCTCCCGCCCAGCTCCTTGCTTCCTGCGTAACTCACGGGGAAAGAGTTCACCAGGTTCCAGCTGAGCTTCTGGGTCAAGAAACGGCAGATCCCAGACCCGCGCATCATTTGGGGCAGTTGTGCTGAGTAGCCAAAGGTGTCCGGCAGCCAGAACTGAGAAGGGAGGAAAAGAGCAGGTCAAGACATCGCTAGGAACAACAGGACATCGCTGACCCTGGCCGGGGTCCCTGGCCCTCTCCTGCAAAAGTGGCCAAATGCTGTCAGAAAAGCTCCCCGGGGAAGCACAGAAGGAAGAAACTCCCCTTCCTGAATGCAGACATGTTATGGCCAGAAATACCACACACACACACACAATGCAAAAACAAACAATCAAGATTTCTGGCCTGTTTCTGGCCTGGAACTCCCTCCCCAAGGACATCAGGCACTCCCCAACTCTGGCAGTCTTCAGAAGGAGCTTGAAAACATGGATGTTCCAGTGTGCCTTCCCGGATTAAGGAATCCCAAGCAATATGTCCCAAATGCACTTTACGAGAGAGTTAGAATTGTCTGCACACCCACTTACCCCCCAAAATATCCATCCTTGTCATGCCCAGCATTTTAAAAATGTTTTTAACCTTTACATTTGGCCCTGCCAGGTTTTTAAAATTGCGTTGTGATATTTTGTTATTGTTTTTGCTTTGCTATGAGTTATTTATTGTTGTATTGTATTGTTGTGGTTGTGTTTTTGTTCTGATGTATTTTGGGCTCGGCTTCTTGTAAGCCGCACCGAGTCCTGCGGGAGATGGTAGCGGGGTATAAATAAAGGTTTATTATTATTATTATTATTATTATTATTATTATTATTATTATTATTATTATTATTTCCAGACTGCAGAATGAGTGCAGTTGGACACCACTTTAACTGCCAGGACACAACGTTATGGAACCACTCTGAGTCCCCCCAGGGGTAAGAAAGGCAGTATATAAATACTGTAAATAAATAAATACTGTAAATAAAACCATGGCAGCTGTAGTTTTACAAGGTCTTTGGCTTCTTCTTACAAAGAGTGAAAGAGCCTCACCAAATCATAAATCCCAGGGTTCCATAGCAACGGGCCAGGACACTTAAAGTGATCTCAAACTGCATTCCTTAATAATAATAATAATAATAATAATAATAATAATAATAATACTTAATTTGTACTCCGCTACCATCTCCCAAAGGCTTACAAGAGGCCAAGCCCAAATACAATAGTAAAAACAACAGCAACAACAGATAGCAAAATAACTCAGAAAACAAAGCAATAACATTGACAACACACAATGACACAATTAAAAACAATAGCAGGGCCAAATGTAATAATTAAAATTAAAAGTGCTGGGCATGACCAGGTGGAGTGTTTTGGAGGGGGGTGGGCATGCAGATATCCTCGATCTCTGATAAAGTGCATTGGGACTAATGCTAGGAATTTCCTATTCTAGGAAGGCACACTGGAACAACCACGTTTTCAAGCTCCTCCCAAAGACTGCCAACGTCGGGGCCTGCCTGATGTCCTTGGGGAGAGAGTTCCAGAGTCGAGGGGCCACCACAGAGAAAGCCCTATCCCTCGTCCCCACCAATCGTGCTTGCGATGCAGGTGGGATCGTGAGCAGGGCCTCTCCAGATGAACGAAGAGATCGTGTGGGTTCGTTCGTACACCGAGATGCGGTCACGCAGGTAGGCGGGTCCCAAACCGTTTAGGGCTTTGTAGGTAAGCACCTGCACATTGAATTGGGACTGGAAAATGAAAGGCAGTCAATGGAGCTCCTTAAACAGGGGGGTTGACCCCCCCCCCCTGTAAGGAGCACCAGTTAACAACCTGGCCGCCGCCCATTGGACCAATTGAAATTTCCCGGCCGTTTTCAAGGGCAGCCCCACGTAGAGTGCATTACAGTAGTCCAATCTGGAAGTGACTAAGGCGTGGACCACCCTGGCAAGATCAGCAAAAAACAACAACAACAATAATACAAAACAATAAAATAAAACTCATAAACAAAAAATCGGTAGTAAACATCAACAATAACACAATAACATTTAAAAACCTATGGCTGGGCCAAATGCAGTAATTAAAATTTAAAAAATAATGCTGAGCAAGACACACCAGTCACGTACCTCCAAGCACGTCTTGCCAAACTCTTGCTGGAAGAACCTCTGTCCTTGCAGGAACTGGCGCACCATGGATTCCCCGCTTGGAAGGTTCCCGTCCTGAAAAGGATTCACAAACGCAGAGAAGGGACAAGCCTGTCACTCCCCCGTCTCTCCCCACGTCTGGGATGCCTTCCAGGGTGACTCTAGGGCCCTTTCTCTTGGAAACACCCCTGTGTTGAACACCACGCTCCAGTCCAAGTCAAATCAGCAAAGCAGTTTATTGAAGAATACATAGAAAAAGCAGTTCCGCAAAATATTATATAAAAAAACAAAGTCTAAATGTAAGAAACAATCCACAAAATTCAAGGTACAAGAGTAGCATCGAAAGCCAGGAATCATAACCAGGACATTCTTTTTCCCTATATGATAACGGTGGCGAGAATCTCCTATGCCAAACTTTGGAAATTGGACAAAATACCAGAGATTGATGATTGGTTACGTAAACTAAGAGAAATGAGAGACATGGACAAACTGACATTCCTTTTGAAGAATATTTTGGGAAATCCAATTAAAAGGACTGGCTGGAGTCCGGTCGAGGAATACGAAAAAGAACTATAAAGTTAAAATGGAAGTAGAGACTCTTCTGTATTCTTTTTTATGTTTTGTTTTTATAAATACACATGGATTTTTGAATTTATAATGCAAGAAAAGGATGAACTGAAGTGGCAAAGATTGGAAGTCAATGGGACTCTTTTTTTCTATTTTTTCCTCTATTTTTTTCTTTTTCTCTTTTTTCTTTCTCTCTCTCTCTCTCTCTCACTAAAAATTCTTCCTTTTCCCCTTACTTTCCTATTGTTTCAATGTTCCCACACTTTTTCTGTAAAAAATCTAAATACTTTTTCCCTTTGTGGATAATAAAAATCTAGTTAAAAAAAAGAATATCTTTTGAAATTTGGTAGCATGGAAATTTGGAAGCAATAGGAAAGTAAGGGAAAAAGGAAGAATTTTTAGTGAGAGAGAGAGAGAGAGAGAAAAGAGAAAAAGAAAAAAATAGAGGAAAAAATAGAAAAAAGATCAACAGGAAACATGGAAATCCCTTCGAAGGCTTGACTTGGCAAGAGATGTATCCTCAAACATCAACATTGACCAGACTGCCGAAAAAGCCCTCTTGACAGAAAATCATGCCTTCTCCCTTGAGAAACGGATAACGACTTTCTGGCGAACAAGCGCTCTGACCTTGGCAAACTCTGTTGAGCAGCTCTATGTTCACAGAATGTAAATCTCCTATCTATCAACACACTAGTCCGTCCACCTGGAATCTCATCCTCTGAGCTCCTTTTTGACTCTGGCCTTGCTTTCCACTGAAGGGCTTCTCACGAGTTCAGCCTGTGATTGTGTTTCAGGATCAGGGTACTTTGGATGTGGGGAATGATGTCAATGAGGTTCAAGATGTCAATTGTTTGGTCAGTGACATTGATGCAGAGAATGACAGAGAGACACCTGTTCAAAGTGTAGTTTCCCATGAGAATGTTCCTACAGGGTATAGGGATGATGGTTTACTCTCTGAATTGCACCCAGAGAGTTCCCAGGATTTGTGGCTTGAAAACAACTCAGAAAACAGGATTTGGGGTTGAAAACAACTCAAAAAACAGGATTTGGGGCTGGAAAACAACTCAGAAAACAAGATTTGGGGCTTGAAAACAACCTGCAGGAACTAAGCATATAGATAGGCGAGCGGAAATTAGTCAAAACAGACAGGCCGAGCAAGGCCTTCGGTGTTCTGCCAGGCAAGAGAAAAAGATAAGGGCCGCTCAAGGAAAGCGAAACCAGTTTCTGAGTGCTTGGAAAGGCTTAAAAGTTCCAAGCATGGAAAATACAGTCAGATGAAGCATCGTTTAGTTCTTGTCCTCGACGTAGAGAAGCCTTGCTTGGAAAATTCATGCTTAAAAGATTTCTTGTTTCCTGGTCTGGGTTTTGTCTCTTGGGATTACCTGCTCATGACTTGGATCAACGTTTCCTGTTTCTTTGGATTTTGTTAAAGAGTTGTGGACTTTATTTTTTGGCATTGCTGAACTCTACCTTGGACTGATTTGTTCCTGCTTATCTTCTTACCTAATTGGATTTACCTATTTCTTTAAAGTGTTTGTCTTGACTTTGCTGTTTTTACTTAACTTCAATAAAAGGATTGTTTTCCTATTCAACGTGTGGTGTTTTACAGTCAGAGGGTTATTCCTGTCCTGGACTGCAACCCTCACCCACATCTGGGCCCCTCTCTGGAATGTGGCCTTCATGAGAGACTGGGCGCAGAGACCACTCCGTTTCAGGGCTTAAAATCTCCTGCCATCTTGCAGCCCCAGAATTCCCAGAGACATTGAAGGATGAACTACAACAATTTCCTAGAAAGAGGACCTAGAAAATTCCCAGGGAAAAAAATACAATGTTCTCTCTGGTCTCAGCAGCCTGTGTGACACCCACAAAAGTGGGTCCTGGATCCTCACCATTTCCACCCAGGTGCCTCCAACAGGGATGAAACGCCCTTCTTTGGCAAAATGTTGAATCTCAGCATACAATCCAGGATACCACGTCTTCACCCATTCAAACTGCTGGGCCTGGAGGGAAGACGGCCGCCAAAAGTAACGCGTACATAATCTCAGTAAGACTCCACTTCACCCACCCGAAATGCGCCAACCCTTTAAGCTAAGAAATCATCCAAGTCACGCTGAATCACTTTCCCATACAATGCGCTTTGAATAAATTTACAATTGCCTCTCCATATTTACAGATTCAACTTTTGCAGATTTGATTCAAAGGGTGCCTAGAGGAATCTCTAGTGTAGAAGTTTCCAGCACAACTATGAGCACTGAATTGCACGGCAGGATCGAGAGGTTCACAGAACAACGCTCCCTAGGAATTTCAAGTCATTTCTTATTCCCATTTCCCCCACTTTTGCAGGGTCCTGCAGCCCTAACGTCAATCAATGTTGATGGCTGACTATAACTATGAAGTTGCTGTGAGTTTTCTGGGCTGTCTGGCCATGTTCCAGAAGCATTCTCTCCTGACGTTTTGCCCACAACTTTGGCAGGCATCCTCACAGGTTGAGGGGTCTGTTGGAAACTAGCAGAGTTTTTTCTCCCACCCTGGGCATCATTCCACAGATATATAAACCCCACTTGCCTTGTTTCCAACAGACTACACAACCTTTGAGAATGCCTCTCATAGAAGTGGGTGAAATGTCAATAGAGAATGCTTCTGGAACATGGCCAGACAATCCAGAAAACTCAGAGCAACCCGTTTTTGGGGGGGGGGGGTTGTCGTGTCAGGAGCGACCTGAGAAACTGCAAGTCGCTTCTGGTGTGAGAGAATTGGCCGTCTGCAAGGACGTTGCCCAGGGGATGCCTGGATGATTTATCATCCTTGTGGGAGGCTTCTCTCATGCCCCCGCATGAGGAGTTGGAGCTGATAGAGGGAGCTCATCTGCCTCTCCCCGGATTCGAACCTGCGACCTGTCTGTCTTCAGTGGGTTTAACCCACTGCGCCACTGGGGCCCCAGGTGATTCCAGACAAGAACGCCTTCAACAATACATATAATTATTAAGGGTACAACATTTGAACAAATAAATCAATACATAGGGAAGGAATCTACGCTAATGGGGAAACAATTACCTGCTATTTGGACATTTTAATGGAATATGCCTAGAATTGATGGCACTACTGGGCTTGGCCTCATATAAGCCGCCCCGAGTCCCCTTTGGGGAGATGGTGGCAGGGTAGAAATAAAGATGATGATGATGATTATTATTATTATTTATTATTGATTCCAATCAGGGAATCTAGACCTGGTAATATGTGCGAAAGAGATCCTCTCCTACCCTTGAATCCTCTCTCTCTTGCATTCCATCCACAGTGAACTTCTCAATGTCATAGATAACATCTAAAAAGGCATAAAAGAGAGGCATTCCTACCTGTGAGCACACAAAGGTGAACTCTGGGTTTTTCTCCATGAGCCGAACAACCGTGATCCAGCTGCGAGCGCATTTACGAATCGTCTCCTCGTAAGGCCACAGCCAGGCTGAGATGAGAAGTGCAGGCTTCAGTTTGCTGTACTTATTATTATTATTATTATTATTATTATTATTATTATTAAATGTCAGGATATTATAGTTATTATTATTATTATTATTATTAAATGTCAGGATGCACAGCACTGGAAATAGTAAGCCGCCCCGAGTCCCCTTTGGGGAGATGGTGGCGGGGTATAAATAAAGATTATTATTATTATTGTTGTTGTTGTTATTATTAAATGTCAGGATATTATTATTATTATTATTATTAAATGTCAGGATATTATTATTATTATTATTATTAAATGTCAAGATGCACAGCACTGGAAATATAGAGAAAATATAGAGGAAATTTAGAGAAAAACCACTCTGTCCTCTTCTTTTCCAGTCTGAACATTGTTCTCCCCCGAAAATGATCCCTTCGCTTCAGTGTGCGCCCCCAAATCCGGTCCCCTATCCCTGATTTCTCTTCCCCTAGAGCATTCCTCTCACCAGAATCAATGTGGCAGTGGCCCATGGCGTGGACGGTGTGCTGGCTCTCCCCATTCTTCTGCCTGAAGACTGAGCAGGCCACTTCGTGCACCGCAGGGAAGGTCGAAGGGTCGGTCACGTCGCAAAGGTTCACCATCCGATTGGCTGCGTAAAGGGCCTGGAAACTCCGCTGGTTCTCCTCCCCAAGCAGCTATGGAAGAAGGAATGACAATGGCAACCCAAGACAATGCAGAGCGTAAACATATCGGGGCCTCATCCAGCTGGGGTTCATGTGTTGTCCAGCCCTCGTCAAATTCATTAGACCGCCTTCCATCTACAGGACTATGCTCATCTTCATTGGGAGATCTTCCAAGACACAGGAAAGAGGGATACCTGACGTTGCAAATAACAGCAAACCCTATATTTCAATTATACTAATTGTACCATATTAATTATACTAGACTTGAGCCAAAGCAGGGTTTCACAACCTTCCTAATGCCACAACCCATTAACACAATTCCTCATGTTGTGTTGACCCCCCCAACCATAACATTATTTTTGTTGCTACTTCATAACTGTAATTTTGCCACTGTTATGAATTGTAATGTCAATATCTGATATGTATGATGCATTTTCATTCCCTGGATCAAATTTGGCACAAATCTCCAATACGCCCAAATATGAATACTGTGGACGGGGAGGATTGATTTTGTCATTTGGGAGCTGTAGTTGCTGGAATTTATAGTTCACCTCCTATAATCCCCGTCTTTGGAACTCACTACCTGGTGAGATTAGGCAAACCCTGAAAGCCGGGCTCTTCCGTTGAGCCTATGGGGAGTGGCCACGTATCCCACTTCTGTTTGCCCTGTCTCTAGTGTTGCCCCTATGACGTACTTTCCCCTGCCCTCATCTGAAAGCCTTCCCCCACCGTTTTACTCTTCCTGGGCTCCCCTCACACTTTTTCTATTGTTTTTTTGAGTGATGGTCACTTGTTGGACTGTTAGGTGTATTGTGTCCAAATTTGGTGTCAATTCGTCCAGTGGTTTTTGAGTTCTGTTAATCCCACAAACGAACATTAAATTTTTATTTATATAGATTATTGTTGTTGTTGTTGTTGTCTGGAATATATGGCAATGTGGAAGGGACCTGAGCTCACAAAATGCATCTTTATTAGATATTGATTAGTCCTCTGACCATATTAACAGTAAAAGACAAAAGACACGTAAACAGAGACACAATAAACACTAATCCCATCCTAATGCTCCTGTAATAGTTAGCTAAATTACATGCTAGTTAGAGATGACAGGAGTTGGAGTCCAGCACCCTCCCAAGGGCCTGGGGGGGGGGGGGGGAACTCCTGCCTTAGGGAATAATAGTAATAATAATAATAATAACAATAATAATAATAATCTTTATTTATACCCCGCCACCATCTCCCCAATGGGGACTCGGAGCGGCTTACATGGGGCCAAGCCCGGACAACATGTTACAGCAAAATAAGACCAAAACATAGACAACAAGCAACATCATCAAAATTACATAGGGAATAAATAAATAAATAACTAAATAAATAAAATCTCTCCTGCAGTTGCCGATAAAAGCTCCCGAAATCCGAAGTGCACCTTGGCCATGTCAAGAAGGATCTCCAAGTCGAGCAGGAGTTGGTGGACATCCCTGTTGTAGACCGCCAGCTCCGCTCTGCGCAAGGAGAACGTCTTGTTCGGATCCGGGGGTGCGATCATGCTCTCCTTGCCGGCTCCAAAGAGACCATTGCAGGCCACCTCCACGTACAACGTCAAGCTGCAAATGAGGGGGGGGGGGGGGGGTGTGTGACAGTCAGCAACCCTCCTTCCTCTGCTTGAGACTACTTTTCCCAACCAGCCGCCCTCAAACGGTATCGAGATTGCAGTTGTGCTGCTGTGTGCTTTCCAGGCAGATTTCTGACTTACAACAACAACAACAACACTTTATTTATATACCGCTCTATCTCCCCGAGGGGTCTCAGAGCGGTTTCCAAGTAACATCATAAAGTAAGCAACATAAACATAAAATGAACAAGACAATATAAGCATACAAAATCACAATAACACATCTTTATTTAAAATATTCCTGCCTGTTCAAGACTTACGGCACTCCAAGGCACACTAATCGCGGGGCTTTCTCAGCAAGAGAGGGTTTGCCTTTGCCTGCCCAAGGTCGAAGCCCAAGCAAAGGTTGAAACCCTGGCCTCTGTAGGAAAGGAGATTCCACCTGAACATGAGGAAGGACTTCTTAGGGCTGTTCAGCAATGGAACTCTCTGCCTCCGTGTCCGGTGGAAGCTCCATCCTTGGAAGCTTTTAAACAGAGGCTGGATGGCCATCTGTCAGGGACACTTTGATTGTGCATGGTTGGACTAGATGGCCCATGTGGTCTCTTCCAACTCTTAGGTTATTTATTATTTTACTCTGTTAATAGTATTATTTTTATTACATTTATTATTTTACTTTATTATTATTATTATTATTATTATTATTATTATTACATTCACATTATTTTACTCTATTTATTATTATTATTGCTTTTCATATTTTCCTTTATTATTGATATTATTACATTTATTATTATAATTATTATATCTACATTATTTTATGAGGGAGAACTTCTCAGAGCTGTTCAGCAGTGGAACTCTCTGCCTCAGAGTCCGGTGGTAGACTCATATAATCTCGTTCAAAGCAAATAATATGGATTATCTGCTTTGATAATCTGGATTATAAGGCAGTATAGAAGGGCCGCAGTGGCGCAGAGGGTTAAACCACTAAGTTGCAGAACTTGCTGACTGGAAGGTCAGTAGTTCAAATCCACATGACGGGGTGAGCTCCCGTCGTTAGCCCCAGCTTCTGCCAACCTAGCAGTTGGGAAACATGGAAGTGAGTAGATAAATAGGTACTGTTGCAGCGGGAAGGTAATGGTGTTCCATGCAGTCATGCTGGCCACATGACCTTGGAGGTGTCTACAGGCAACGCCGGCTCTTTGGCTTAGAAATGGAGATGACCACCAGAGTCCCTGAGTCGGACACGACTAGACTTAATGTCAAGGGGAAAACTTGACCTTTGCCTTTATAGAGGGGCCATAAGAGGTCTTGGGCCCCAAATCAGGGGGAAAGTAGGACCTCAAATAAACGAACAAGAAACAAAAGGAAATCCACCTGCAAGTCTACGAGGACTTCCTTGCTCACCTGTGAGGATCTGTCTCTGTGAGACTATCGGTGAGGATGTAGCTGGTCTTCTCACCTTCGGTGGTCAAGCCCTGAGAAGGACAACAAATACAATAAAATATGTCTGACAGAAAGAGAGGCAGGGACACAGCTCCTGGTGTAAATAAGCCGATTGTTTCATAATCTGCTCACTGCTCTCTTTCCAAAGCAGAAAGGTAGGCTAGTCACCTTTCTGTGGAATTAAAAGCGTTCCACAGGCGGGCCACAACCGAGAAGGCCCCGTCTCTCGTCCCCGCCAAACGCCTTTGCGATGTTGACGGAAGCGAGAGCAGGGCCTCCCCGGAGGATGGGAAACAGAGGCAGATGCATTTGGACAAGGAAGCTGGGCCACAACCATAAAGAGCTCAATGCCAAGCACAAGGGCCAACCAACCCATTAGTCACTCACCTGAACAGGCTGGCCGTCCCTCCAAACCATTCCTTCTCCTTCGCTCTCCCAACGAAGGTGCACCTCTATTCCGGCCCATTCTTCGGGGATACCGAGCTCGGCTTTGAACCAGCAGGTCTGCCACCTTCGCGAAAGGACAGAAGGATGCTCTTTAAAGGCAAACAGTATACAGAATTGGGCAAGCGTTGCACTGGAGACGGGCCTTCGATTTGACTCATACGAGCATTAAGTTGAATCCAAAATCTACCCATTTTATTTTGTTTGCTTTTTCAAGCAGACACTTAAAATTGCTCATTGTCGTTTTGATTACTGGGCTGCCAGGAAAATGATGGGAAACTCAAGGTGCAGCTACACTGGAGGGCGAATGCAGTTTGAGACCACTTTAACTGCCTCAGCCAAGTGCAACTGAAGCACGGGAGCGGCGGCTTCACAAGGTCTTTAGCTTCCTCTGCCCAAGAGTGCCAGTCCCTCACTAAACCACAACTCCCAGGGTTATACAGCATTGCACTGTAGCAGTTAAAGTGGTGTCAAAGTGCATAATTCTACAATGTAGATGAGGCATGGGCCAACTTCGGCCCTCCTTTTGGACTTCAACTCCCACAATTCCGACTGGCTGTTAGGAAGTGTGGGAGTTGACGCCCAAGACACCTGAAGGGAGGGTGGAAGTTGGTTCTATGTGACAAAAGTGAAGTATCCGGGTCGTTATTCTCTAAACAAATACTTACGTCAGACCAAAAGCCTCCCCGACTTTGATGGGTCTGAACTCTTGCCGAATGGCTTCCTCGTACGGGATTCGCTGAGAGGTTTCAAAGCAAGAGAGAGCGGCCAGTGAGCAGGTGTCGCCAAACAGCCTGGAATTAAATAATATAAATCATTAAATAATACACAGCTGTATATTGCAGCCACACATAGGCTGGGTCTACACTGCCATATACTGCAGTTTGGGACTACGTTATCTGGTCGCTCTAGAGCAGGAATGGGCAAACTTGGGCCCTCCCTCCAGGTGTTTTGGACTTCAACTCCCATCATTCCTAACGCCCGGTAGGCTACTAGATATTTTGGGAGTTGTTCTGTCGCGCACTGGGCCTGTAAAGAATTGTCTTTAGAACAGGACGTGCAACCTTTGCCCAGTGGGGAGCCAGGAGGCCCAAGGAGAAGTTCTCTGAGGTTTTCCACCACAAATGATCTTTAGATGGCTTGTGAAGTATAACAAAGTCTTTTATTAATGAACAATCAAACAGAAACTTCTCTTGTCTTCAGAAAGATAAGGATGTCAAAAGGAAGAGGAAGCAGGCTTGTTTTCTGCTGCCCTCAAAACTAGGACTAGGAGCCATGGCTTCAAACTACAAGAAAGGAGATTCCATCTGAACATGAGGAAGAGCTTCCTAACTGTGAGAGCCGTTCAGCAGTGGAACTCTCTGCCCCAGAGTGTGGTGGAGGCTCCTTCTTTGGAGGCTTTTAAACAGAGGCTGGATGGCCATCTGTCGGGGGTGCTTTGAATGCAATTTTCCTGTTTCTTGGCAGAATGGTGTTGGACTGGATAATGGCCCACCATGTGTCTTTTCTAACTCTATGATTCTATGATATGGCCATAAGTTGGAGATATCTTGAGATGTTTTAGATGACCATAAGTTGGAGATTCCATCTGAACATGAGGAAGAACTTTCTGACTGTGAGAGCCGTTCAGCAGTGGAACTCTCTGCCCCGGAGTGTGGTGGAAGCTCCTTCTTTGAAGGCTCTTAAACAGAGGCTGGGTGGCCATCTGTCGGGAGTGCTTTGAACGCAATTGTCCCGCTTCTTGGCCAAATGGGGTTGGACTGGATGGCCCACCAGGTCTCTTCCAACTCTAGGATTCTATGATTCTACGAACTTCCTGACTGTGAGAGCTGTTCAGCAGTGGAACTCTCTCCCGTTGGAGATTAGATCTGCCCTTTCCCTCCTGACTTTCAGAAAGCTGGCAAAATCTTGGCTTTGGAATATAGCATTTGCAGAATGATGATTGAGTCAATAACGGCTGACCACTCTGGCGGATGGTGATGAATTTGTGATTTTACTCTGACGACCTGGCTTTTGTAATTGTATGATCTGTATTTTAATGTATTTTTGTATTAATGTATTATGATGCTATTATGTTTATTCTATGTGTGAATGAATTTTCTGCTGTTTGCCGGCCTGAGTCCCTCTTCGGAGGTCGAGAAGACCGGGTTATAAAAGCTCTAAATAAATAAATAAATACCTACCTCAAAAGATATCGTGTAGACGGGGCCTATCTAGACATGAAATTCATTTTTGTTTTATCTGCACCTTATGCGTGTAACCTTTGACGTGATTTTGTGCAGGAGTGAGTCTCAACTCGAATCAATGGTCAACTGGCTCTTAATCCCCATTAATGTCTTGGGTTTAATAATAATAATAAAAATAATAATAATAATACTTTATTTATACCCCGCCACCATCTCCCCAAGGGACTCAGAGCGGCTTACATGAGGCCAAGCCCAACAACACATCCATAAAACAACAAGCAATAACCAAATAAACAATACAATTAATCAATAAACAATACACTTTTTAGTTGGATTGAGCCATCGGAAGAAGGCCTACCAAACCTATTGACCTTTTGCATACCGTTCTAGGGCGTCTCCCTTTCCTCCTGCCTGCCTGCGAGCGGGGGCCGCACTGCCTTACACCCCCCACCGCGGAAGGAAGTCTTTGGGGAAGTAGGCAGGAGACCTCCGCCTTCACGTACCTCCTCCACACGACCGGACAGCCCGTAGGAATCTGCAGGCGGGAAGTGAGCCAGCACCTGAGACCCGTCAAGGCCTTCCCAAAGGAAGGTATTGTGCTGCAAGGAAAAGACCCCCAATGAAGAGCTTGACCTCACGAGCGCTTCCTGCAGCCCCCCATTGCCCACCCTGGCTGGAATGTTCCAGGAGTTGAGGGGCAAAAATCAGGTTTAGGAACTCAAAGAAGCACAGTGTGAGGGAACCAGGGGACTCCCCACTTCTTCCACCCACTTGGCTCTTTTGCCCTTTACAAGCCCTTCCTGTGTTTGAGCTCAACTTGACCGCTGCCACGGACAATATGGGAATGAAGGCAAGGCCGGTCTTCCTTGCTGAATTGCAACACCCAGATAAAGATGCAAAAAATGGAAACAGTGAGTAGTGATTGCATGAGAAATAATAATCATAATCATCATAATAATACTTTATTTATACCCCGCTACCAAGGGACTCGGTGCGGCTTACATGAGGCCGAGCCCACAATACATCAGCAGAAAACAACAACAACAATAATACAAAACAATAAAATAAAACTCATAAACAAAAAATAGGCAGTAAAGATCAACAATAACACAATAACATTTAAAAACTTATGGCTGGGCCAAATGTAATAATTAAAATTTAAAAAATAACGCTGAGCAAGACACACCAGTCCCGTACCTCCAAGCACGTCTTGCCAAACTCTTGCTGGAAGAACCTCTGTCCTTGCCGGAACTGGCGCACCATGGATTCCCCGCTTGGAAGGTTCCCGTCCTGAAAAGGATTCACAAACACAGACCGTCTTCCAGAGAAGGGACAAGCCTGTCACTCCCCCGTCTCTCCCCACGTCTGGGATGCCTTCCAGGGTGACTCTAGGGCCCTTTCTCTTGGAAACACCCCTGCGTTTAACACCACGCTCCAGTCCAAGTCAAATCGGCAAAGCCGTTTATTGAAGGATACATAGAAAAAGCAGTTCAGCAAAATATTATATTAAAAAACAAAGTCTAAATGTAAGAAACAATCCACAAAATTCAAGGTACAAGAGTAGCATCGAAAGCCAGGAATCATAACCAGGACATTCTTTTTCCCTATATGATAACGGTGGCGAGAATTTCCTATGCCAAACTTTGGAAATTGGACAAAATACCAGAGACTGATGATTAGTTACGTAAACTAAGAGAAATGAGAGACATGGACAAACTGACATTCCTTTTGAAGAATATTTCGGGAAGTCCAATTAAAAGGACTGACTGGAGTCCGATCGAGGAATACGAAAATGAACTATAAAGTTAAAACTGAAGTAGAGACTCTTCTGTATTCTTTTTTATGTTTTGTTTATATAAATACACATGGATTTTTGAATTTATAATGCAAGAAAAGGATGGACTGAAGTGGCAAAGATTGGAAGTCAATGGGACTCTTTTTTTCTATTTTTTCCTATATTTTTTTCTTTTTCTCTTTTTTCTTTCTCTCTCTCTCTCTAAAATTCTTCCTTTTCCCCCTTACTTTCCTATTGTTTCAATGTTCCCACACTTTTTATGTAAAAAATCTAAATAATTTTTTCCCATTTGTGCATAATAAAAATCTAATTTAAAAAAAGAATAACTTTTGAAATTTGGAAGCATGGAACAGGATCAACAGGAAACATAGAACTGGAAATCCCTTCGAAGGCTTGACTTGGCAAGAGATGTATCCTCAAACATCAACATTGACCAGACTGCCAAAAAAGCCCTCTTTGCAGAAAATCATGCCTTCTCCCTTGAGAAACGGATAACGACTTTCTGGCAAACAAGCGCTCTGACCTTGGCAAACTCTGTTGAGCAGCTCTATGTTCACAGAATGTAAATCTCCTATCTATCAACACACTAGTCCGTCCACCTGGAATCTCATCCTCTGAGCTCCTTTCTGACTCTGGCCTTGCTTTCCACTGAAGGGCTTCTCACTGTTGGAGTTCATCCTGTGATTGTGTTTCAGGATCAGGGTACTTTGGATGTGGGGAATGATGTCAATGAGATTCAAGATGGCAATGGTTTGGTCAGTGATATTGATGCAGAGAATGACACAGAGACACCTGTTCAAAGTGTAGTTTCCCATGAGAATGTTCCTACAGGGTATAGGGATGATGGTTTACTCCCTGAATTACACCCAGAGAGTTCCTAGGATTTGTGGCTTGAAAACAACTCAGAAAACAGGATTTGGGGCTTGAAAACAACCCAGAAAACAGGATTTGGTGTTTGAAAACAACCCAGAAAACAGGATTTGGGGCTTGAAAACAGCTCAGAAAACAGGATTTGGGGTTTGAAAACAACCTGCAGGAACTAATGCGCATATAGATAGGCGGGCGGAAATTAGTCAAAACAGACAGGCTGAGCAAGTCCTTCGGTGTTCTGCCAGGCTTCAAGAGAAAAAGATAAGGGCCGCTCAAGGAAAGCGAAACCAGTTTCTGAGTGCTTGGAAAGGTTTAAAAGTTCCAAGCACGGAAAATACAGTCAGATGAAGCATCGTTTAGTTCTTGTTCTCGACGTAGAGAAGCCTTGCTTGGAAGATTCATGCTTAAAAGATTTCTTGTTTCCTGGTCTGGGTTTTGTC